AGCAAAGACAAGGAATATCATCGAATGAATGAAGAATGTTTTACATAATATTCCTCTCAAATTGCGATTGTGGTCAAGACCATCAAGACGGTCAAATTGTGAAGACTGGCATTATGTTTACTTCTATACCCTTCTTCCCTTTTTTAAGTGCATCAATATAAAAAATATATATATTTAAGTACTAACTAATTTACTCGTATTTTTTATAAAATACTAACTTCGTTATGGTGGTAGAGTGTGGTTCATGTCAAAACCATTTAACTTTTTCTATATATACATGTTGATGTATATTATATAGAAAAAAATGTATGCTGATACTAGATACAAATAATAAAAGTAATTTACAAGATGTAGCTGAAATGAAACTTTCAAAAAGTTGGATTTGATGAGGCGAATACAAATGTTTGAATGGTTCTTTCAATTCGGAGCGGGTCCAAACAAGGGTTTGATGAAGATCTGGACCCGCCCCTAACAAACCTATCGACATTCCATGATATATTACTATTAAGAACATCAAAGGGTTCGATTCGCTCGAGTCAATGAGACTCTTGTAATAAATGCTTAGTAAATACAGACGTTCAGCGTTGCTCTCTTATTTTCGTAGCGAAGCTTGCAAAGAATGTTTTTGTTACTCTACACGATAGATCTGTACTCGTTATGAAATAAATAGGGTTAAAATACAATTATTGTTAGTTTTCTTTTAGATGTTTAAGCTTTAGCCATTACAAGACTGAAGCGTTAAAAAGAATGAAAGGTTTATACGAACGAGGCGAAAAATAAAGATTAATAAGTTATATTACGTAATAATTAAACTTGCTCCAAATATGCAACAATTTGTTTATTTTTGTTTTCTATATCGAAGTCCACGACAAAACCGCTCATCGCCCACTTAAGATGCTCCAGGAGTACGCGAACTTAGGGCCCGACGAATTCTAGTGACTTCACAAAAAGAAAAAGTTTGGTGTAAAGCGCTGACCTTGTTTTCTAATTTACGTGAGTGCTGTCCGTACATTGTGTACGTAACACTGTCGGTGTCGATATTGGCGCGTTTCACATTCGCAATTTTGTTTGGTGACGAGGTGAATAGGGTTAAATAGATTAGTTAGCAAAATTATGTATCCTGTGTCCTTTGTTAAGGTAGGGCTATTCTTCTATTAAAGCTTAAGTACGATATTAGAAACGTACATTTTCTAAAAAGTCGAACAAATGTCCCTTAATTATACAAGCAATTAGAAGAATAATTCGTCCGTTAATAAAAGGTAAATTACGTACGTAATCAAAGACAGAAATTGAAATCTGAAATAAGGACGTGAGCGTAATTAAGATCGATGGCTCTAATTAATTACTTACGGAGAGGAGCTACGAGCGATATATTATACAAGTTTTGTACGTGATTTGTTTGCGAGTGCTTCAAATAACCACTCAAGTTGTTCGTAAACTTTACCGTCGGATTACGTCGAAGGTATCTATTACAGCTGTTCGAGAGGCCTAAAAAAAACAATAAGACCAGAAATACGATATTCAAATAAGGCCTCTTGGCTCGGCTACATCTGAGGGTAATGTTACTTTACATCCGAAAATCATCCGAATCTAATATCGCCTAGTGACGTCATAACAAATAGTCATTCGACTGTGTTTGCTCATGAATATGTACTAAAAATAATTAGCAGTTGGTCTAAATCTTTGCTGTAAAAAAGTTGATATTAGACTTTTCAATATTGCTCTTTTTGCAGTGCACGTATATAATATGCACAATATTCATCAATGGCGAAATTGGCGTGTCAAGATAATATCTGAACCACAATAATTAAAGCTCAGGCTTTGTACTAGTGTTTGGAATAAATTACAAAATATGTCCCCATGAGGGACTCGAAATGAAAGTCCCAAGGGTTAACCCTGTTGCTGAGCAATTAATGAAAGCGGAAATTGGCATTTGTGCTTCGACACGATTATCCAGATAGCGACGCGATACTCGTATCACCGGCGAACGAATTAATCTCGCACGCCCAGTGACCACTTTGCAAAGTGTTGTGCTAACTATTATTTAGAATCTAATAAAACGAAGCATACAACTACCATAAAACTACAAACTAAACTAACTGCTAAATATTTTAAACAGCGTCAAGCATAAGTAAAAGTTAAAAAATTACCGCATTTCATTTTGTAGTTTCATGTTTAATGCATGTACCTATATAAAATAAAAATACTAATAATTTAGATACAATAAATTTCACGACATGGTCGGAACTTGAACCGGCATCCACAGCTTTGCTTGCTATTTCTCTAACCAATTGAGCTACCTACCGATTATGGCCTAGATGTAGAATGTCATGGAAACTGCATAGGATTGCTCTCTTTAGTTTCGGAGACCAAGACTCACTTTGGGTCGCTGTGCCAGCGGGGTGAGTAAGCAAATTTGGACAAACTGTATTTTCAAATACGGTGTTCTGTAAAACAAGTAAAAAAACCAGTAAAATGTTTACAAAATTCCTATTTTCCTTATTTCACATAACATTGAATCGCCTTCGGATCTGTCCGTGGCGTGAATAGTTTCAGTTTAAATATATCATTAAATTTAAGAATACTGAGTGAGATATTGAGAGCTTTCAGCGCGTTTTGTCCTTCTATTGCAACATGACTAACAAACACCTCTTTATCCCAAAATAATTGGCCTCACGGCTTCGAAAACCGTGAATCCGAATCATCTAGACGGAGCCCTTGACCCATTTTAACACTTGACATTAGTCGTGCTGAATAGATAACTGAATATTAGAGTTGCTTTATCAAAGTGTTGTAACCGTTATTAATTCATTGTTTAGTCGTAAGTCGCTGAAGCCGTAAGACAATGGCTCCGGGGCGTTGGTTTGTATTGTGGCGTTACATTACCAGTTCAGTGAAACAATGGAATTTACAATTATCCCGGTGAATATTATTCTATCATGCATATGAACATCAAAACTACCTTCTTTAGTCAAACGTAGTAAGAATTTTCTTGCAATTTCCAATAACTTCTACAAACTAGCGGTTAACAAGTTTCGAATCTCGGCACGTACTTTCTTACGACTACGTAGAGATAACCTAATTAAAACGAACTAATTAAGTTTTACTTGAGATTGAAACGATGTGCAAAGATCGATAAAAATTAGTTCAAACTTTCAATTTTCTGCGAATCTTTCAGTGACAAAATGATCCTACGGTTTTATAATTACTCTATTACTTTGATAGCTACTAAATCTCACTTTTGAATCGTTGTTTTTGATTGATTGTTTGGTTTGACACAAAAGTAACATACGTGTTGTTTAAATTAGCCACCCTTGTAATCTGTCTTATTACATGCTTCTCTTGTTCTGCTCCATAATGCTTCTATTCTTAACAAAAACAACGCTATCTGCAGGTGATGACGCGGCCCTAATTCTAACATTATAGATAAACACGAGTCCTTACACGAAGAAGATCCATAATGACTTCCGTTCAGGATCCTTATGTCTAAGAGTGCTGAAACCCAAATAGATTTTTGACATTTGGTACTATTTGGTATAGGTTAAACTTACTTATTAAAGTAGCACAAAAGAGGGGACTACAAGTATTTTTCATGATTTATTATTTATTTACTATAGTTATTTTCAAAACAATTGTATCTACACGGTTTATTTACCACCGTGGGTTTTATTCTTACCGAGTCCTACATATTTCTAAAATTAGTTTATAAGCTTTCTGAAACATATTTCATTTCAAAGTCAGGAATATTGAAGTTCTACCCATTTATTTGATCAAGTGAGCCCTGTGTCCTCCTCTGTCATAAGGAATGCAATAACAAATGTTCTGTTTAAATCATAAAATTAAATAAAGGTCTTGTACGAAGGGTACTCACTAGAAACCATTCACTCGGAACGTATAAGCTAAACTACAAACCTAAAACTAAAGGCAAAAGAAAGTTATTCTTAGAAAGACTCCATCAAAATGAATTTTAGATATCGATACCGCGTTTCGCCTTAAGAAAATTGATCTGTATATTTTGGTAATATTGGAATTTTGAAGATAAGTTCAACAAGTAATAACAAAAAGATACTGAAAGAAATAAAGTTTCAAACGTTCTTCATAATTTCAGACGATTGTTACAATATAGCTACGTGCATACTACTACTGATTTTAGATAGACTCATTAATCTTATATCTTAAGAAACAGAGACTTTAAATACCAAATTTAAATAGATTTCAGCTTATTCCTCTAAAGACTTATCTTATCATAAGAATATTAGCTCGAAAGGTCTTCAAATTCTGAAGTGATCTTCGCTACCGAAAAAAGGTATGTCACGTTCAGAAGTAACCACATTTGCAAGTATGATTAACAACTTCGTTTCTTGTAGACAGGTGTCATCCTAACGCCTGCCATTCTGTCTAAGATCCTGTTGCCCCGAGCCATACATCAAACGGCACATTCGTGACATAAATAAGCAAGGAAACGTCTCAATAACGTCGTCGTGTATTATTCCTTTTTTTCTTTTAATTCTACATACTGAACCTTATCATGTATCAATATTTATATGACTTGATATTTTAATTAAGTTTATTTTAATTTAACACATTACGGTTAATATACACATATAGTTAAGATATGTTTCAAAGCGTTAAACATGCTTTATATAACGTTAAAAGGTACTCGCGTGAAATATTGACAATAATTGTATAAAATTTAAGTTAAAATAAGTTTAGTCTCTTTACCAAACTTCATTACTTAAAGACATTTAAGAACATTCTTTAATTTTCGCCGCGTTGACTTTTCTTTTTTGCTGAAATTACAGACATAAAGAATACCTACGGTTCTCCATTTGCACTTTTTACACAACTGTTTCAAAATGACATGCGTATTTGTATCTATTGCTTTGTTCATTGTTGAAGAGTCTTTGTCCATTAGAATCGTCTTGTGTCAATATTTTGTCAGTTCCTTAATGTGTCATTTTTATATTTTCCTCCTATTACTTTATTTTTAATGTAAAAATATGTCTCGATATCTCTGGGGCATCGCTCAAATCGTGAATGACCCTTCGTCGGAATTGATAAATATTGTCAAATCACGCTTAGCGAGTCAAATACCAGAAAACAATACAAGGGCTAACAATATATCCCCAGAAGTTGTCATAAAGGAGAACAAAAGCGTCCAAGTTTGCCTCTCGAATCGAGAAGAATTCGACAAAGAAAACCTAAAAAGGCCAATCGAAGTGCAATCAAAAGTCGTCCAAGCGAATAGATCACGCACGAAGCAAAGACAAAGTATATCGAGCCAATGTAAAACTTTCACTAATGGATTACGCCTTAAAAGTACAAACACTCCAAAAATTTCCTGTCTAGATCGCGGTACCTCTACCAGTGAATGCACTTCGACAGTGTTAACGAAAACTAACGCCAACACTGAACCGATAAAGCAAAAGGTCTGCGATCAGCACCGGCAAGTGTTGAATGCATTACAGACTTGGACGTACGCCGATAATGAATCGGATAAGTCGTACACTTCCATTAAAAACTTGTGGATGAAAATCAAAAGCAATCTAAGCAAACTGCAAATAACGAAAATCGAAGGCCTACCTGGGTACTATGAAACCGATACTCATAGTATCGTCGTGGTGTTGTACAAGCGAGTGAATGTGAAATGATATTTGAAAAAAAATCTCTTTTACATGTTAACTCTTTAATTATATTACCTTTCTTCTAAAAAGATGTCGTCAATATCCAACGAAGAGATATATTCCCTGAAAATCCAAAAAAAAAAAACTTATTATCGTTGGGGCTTTTTAAAATAAAATTAGCGTCAACAATTCAAAATAAAGAGCTTTTGACTATTGTATCTCCTGCAGATCGGCTAACAAGTAAATTAGTTCCGATGTATTTTTAACAGACGCTCGATGCAAACTTCGTTATTCCTTAACTCAATAAAAGAGAAACAAAACACTCCATTCATTTTGGCCGGCAATTTTCCGCGGTTTATTTATACCTAATGAAAAAAGGTAGATTTGTTTTACGGTAATAAAACGTAGCTAATGGGCCTTTGTTTAAAGATGAAAGAACATCGACGAACTAAAAGAACCCCGAGAAAGTACTCTCCACTATTTTTCCTTGCTTCGCTCTTTTAAAAATGGCAGAAACATAGTCGCGAGTAGCGATGATAGGAATTCGCGCGTCGCTACAATTCACGATCCAGATACCGATCGCAGGTGCGGTTAAATTAAAAATGATAAAGGACTTTCAGGTCAGAAATAAAGGTCGCCCGAATATACAAATCATTCGCATTAATCAACAATGAATTTATGACGTCATGTTTCACAAAGTTTCACACCCGTATTAGTAGGTATAATTTATTACCTTCGTCGGCAGCTGTTTGAAATGTTTTTCTCTACAAAGATAATCCGCATATCATTGTCTTTCGGGCTGTTCGGCCGATGAGAGCGAGAAGAGGTTCTGGACGTTTACGCGTGGACGGCATCATCAGGAGATGTTGACTCCTCGATTGCTCGAAGAACATCGGCCGAACAGCCCGAAAGACAATGATATGCTGAACGATGGCCGTGAAAGCCTTACACAATTTATTAAAAGATAATCCGATTGATATCTCTATATCGTTTAATATTTAGAAATGCACGTGGGTGTCAATAATGAATAATAATATCAATCGCGACAAAGGTCAACCATAACTAGTTCGTTCGTTTCGCACTGCATGCATCGTCTCTCTACGGAAAATCATTTGGGAGAAATCGTATTATTGTTTCATTAACTAGCTGACATTTATCAGGCGTTTGAAACTGAACTGAAAGATTATTTTATGTGCTATTATGACGTCGATAAAGGTTATTCTTTTAAGTATTATAGATATTAACGTTCATCTTTACATGTACGGTCGATTGTGATTACATTTTAAATTGGGGACAGTTTAAGTGATCGCTGACTTTACTAATAATATCGTCCGCCTTATAATTTCAGCGGTTACCCAAAAGGCGGATCCTCTTTGTTTCAATGGAGGTTAACGACAGATTACCGTGGCATACCCGCGTGATTCGTCAAATAATAACGATCAATTAAAGTCGTTCGCCAACTGAATGGCTCTATGCGAACACGTTACGCGCAGCATTAACGCTAATATCTTCTGACTCGACGCTTCCCTCTTTTAACGTTCTGCATACGTGCTAATGATGTGCACTTGGTAATTTATGTCTAAAAGGTTAAATAGGCCCATGTGACGCTCTCAAATATGTGGAAAACACCTTTATACGGCACATAAGCGGTTATAGTTAAAAATAATAGTTTTGGCATTGCATATATTGCATATATTATTATATATGTTTTGTGAAGTGACCGTAATAAATGGTTCTTCTTCGTAATAGCTGTATTGCTTACTAACCCGACTTCTGTGACCCACACTTGACCTTTAAAATTAAATTTCTTTCTGGGAACAATTTCAAATATCCCTTCGGGTAATACGATGATATATACTTCGAATTTTAATGCTATGCGCATTCATCTATACCTATATTATCTATATTATAACGCGATTCAATGTATTGTGTGCAATAGACATGGACCCACTTAATGTGACCCAGATAACATCTCTACACATTTTCTTTCATGAAGGCAGTTTTAAATGCAAACTCTTTGAAACAAGTACTCACTTTCTAAGTACTCACGTCAAATCGACATGAAAAATTAATGATCACTCAAAAACGCTTGACGATTTTTAACGAAGGTCAGCTGAGTGCAGACCGCTCGGATATTCAGCGGAAAGAATATTCAGGTTTGCCGTTTCTGCCTAAACATGCAAATTCATCGTCTGGAAAAATCGCTCTGGCACACAATCAATTCTGTACCGTTACTTGCCAAAAAAGTAGCTCATTGACACTTACGCGAAGGGAATTAAGAAGTCTGCAGTCAGCAGAGCAGCAGATTTTTGTACCGAAAAACACACCAAGATTTTAAAAGATCTACAACGTATTGAAAATCTACAACGTATTGAAATAAAGATTCAAGTTAAATTGGTTACGAGGAAATTATGCATGTCGTAGGAAAAGTTGTAAGACAAAATGGCTGCCGATATACTTTGTAACGCTTTTTACACGTGTGACAATTTGGTGAACTTTTGCTACTCACTTTTTCTTCAACAATTACCAGAATTGGAAACTTTCGTTTACTGGTTCGTTTCGTTAACTAAAATCACTCTTTAGTACGTTAGATGTTTCTCGGCTTTCTTATTAAATTGACAATATTTTTCATGTATATTTATATCAAACAAAATATCAACATCATAAGCTGGTACGAACGAACGATTAGTGTAAAAATTCTTCTTCTAGACTCTGTATCGTGGCACTTTTCGGAATCCGAGCAAAATGAAAAGTTATTTTATTCGTCAAGACATCCGTGAGTGGTTTAATGAAACGGAAGAAATAGTGACGATTTAATATTTCCATCTTTAGTAAATTGAAACTTCGGTATACTTAACGAATAATGTTTGATCATTCGAATGTAAATTACTGGAGGCGTTTTTGCTGATTTCAATACTAGTAAATCAACTTTGGTACACTGTTAGTTGATGGATAAATTAATATAAATATTATGAAGACATTGTTTTCGGTATAGATGTTGAAATAGGGGACGACTCAAAAGCGTAATCTAAACATAAGTATGACTTATAATATTTGTGGCATTCACTAAAATATTTACAAGGTATTATGTAGTCTTGGAGTTAATTTTTTTTCACATGAAAATAACTCTTTGTTAAAGCACAAAAGCTTTTGTAATAAAAACGAAAAGTCACAGACAAAGACTAGTCCATTTATTGCGAAGTTATTCTCGTGCTATCATTACATTGTTTATGGCCAAGGATATAAAGCTGCTCGTCTCTTGGGCCATTCCCTTTGTCTTCCAAATTCTCATCGAACTTTTGTAACAAGTGTATTTTGATCTAACCGACGAATGAACGTTGATCGGATACATTCGAGTTACGGTTTGTGAGCTGAAATGGTTTTTCTATTACAGTTGTCGCCGTCGACGCATACGTACTTAATATTAATTGACCAAATACGTTGATACGTTTTTTCTATACATAACTATTTTATCTTATAAGTACTTACTAAATTGGACATACATTAGTTTTATAATCAAGCATCATCAAGTGTTTCAATGAAAATACATAGACATAGGTAAAAGTTATTTTCAGACATTTCTTTTGGTCGTCATACAAAGAATGTACAGTGAATATTATTACATTTAACTAGCTAACGAGTTTCGCTTGGCCTCTGAAACTGCAAATATAATTCAAGCAGAATTATATTTGCAGTTTCAGAACTAAATGAACAGACATAGCTAAAAATAAATAAATCGTGTCTTCGCGCCTGTCTAAAGCCTCCCTCGGCTGCGTCGAGAGAAGCAACAGAGGTGATTAAAGGCACAGATATCTATCGACAGGACAAATGGGGTCTTCGAGGCAAAATAATGTCAAAAATAATAAGGTGCCTACGTCTCAAAAAGGACTGTATCGAGGTTGACAGGTTAATTATGCTTCTATGTCTACATTTCGTATATATATGTTACATATTATTATTTTCTATCGGGGACACCAATAGAGGTGATCAGTCCACGTTTGCTGCTAACGGTATTGGCCATTAACAAAATGTATATAATTGAGATAATTAAAAAACTTACAAGTATAACTTTTAGGCCTAATAAAATTTACATAACTTTTATACCGAATTACTTCTTCATATAAATATTTGTACAAGAAATTATTTCCTGTCACACATTTCCTTTCAAATAAATTATTAATTCATATATCACTGTTGAAGGTGAGAAAATCTTCGTCTTTATGATTTCGAAGAAGCGGAAATTAAATCTCAAACGAGGCAAATTAAATCAAAACAAGTTATACTTCTCCGGATTATATTTATTGCTTTCAATTAAGTACGTTTCGTTTCTTACACTGTTATAGAAAAAAATCTTATTCTGACTACTTTGTTTCGTGACGATACAGGGCCCCGGAGTTAAAAAGTTATTTTTACTCGTTTCTTACGCGCACATTAAATTGTTTGAATATTTAATGAACAGCATGTAATTAAGTATATTCCAATGTGCTTAAAACTCTCTAAAAACTCATTTACAAAATATATCAATACAAAAGCATAAAGAAGTGTTAACTTCGTAGCAGATCGTAGCACTCTGGCTACATCGCGCGTAGAACGTGCTTTTGCAACTCGGCCACCGATCACTGCGCTACATATACAAAAGGTTAGCTTAGGCTTAACTCCTGAAAATCTCACATTACACTGTTGGGGCACACCGTCAAAGTGATTTGGGTCATCATCTTCGTATGTCATCGAAAATGCCCGAATTTGGAACCCCGATCACATCTAACTTTCGTAATTGATTGCCTATAATATCCGCTGAAAGGCTGAAACGATGGGTCGCGTTAACAGAATTTAATAGCCATTTGAAGGCACTTAAATTATACAAATAAGCAGTATGTAGATCCATTTTAATGAGTTCTAGATAAAGTAATGTAACTATTGTACTTTATCGTCATATCTCCTCACTCGAATTTCGTTCATCTGACAATGAAAGTTGTTCCCGGGAGACTTATTCGAGCATGAAGCAATAACGAGGTTTTTATAACAATATCTTGGATTAAGCTTGTGTTTGTGAAGAACAATAGCAATGTGATTGATTGATAAATGTTATTCTAGGGATACAGTTTTTAGCCTTTTCAAGAATTATCCTTAGACAAGCTTTGAGTTTTAAATTCATATTTTACCTAACTGGCCCCACTAAAAACAAGTTTACTATAATAAATACAGCAATTATTTACTGAAAGACGAGAAGAAGTACAATGAAATTTAACATTAATGTCGTAAATCATTTCTACGTTGTATCGAAATTCAGAAAGTATACATACACTATTTATTAATACTCGGTAATCAAATCAAATCTTTTTCGCTGCTTTGAGATATGCAAAATTTTATTTTTTATTTCAAATAGATTTTATTCTATCCAATGTATTTTCTTTCTCTTTACAAATGCAAAAAACGAAGGTTTATTTGGGTTTTATGTGAGCCTAGTACGGACTTCGTGCAGTTGATCACTTCCCTTTAAATCATACTTAATAGTTATACTGTTACTGGTAATCATATTATGGTATGTTAAACTGTAATTGTATGCTTTTATACAATTACAGTTGTCGTATTACATCTTTCTATTTGTCTAGAAGCGAGCCTCATTTTCATAGAAATGAATACACACCCTAGATTTGTATTTGTGTAAACGAGAACTTGAACTTTATGCAAATTGATCGAAACCAATAATTTCCACGTTAGTACCACTGTTTATTTTAACATCAAAACGGGTCATTACCGGGCTTACTTTGGATAAAACATTTAATGGACATATCCCGGAGGGAAATTTTTGAAATGACACAATCCTCAAACGATTCAGCTAACTACTATTTTTAAAGAAAATGAGTTGACGCGAATTAATTAGTAAGAAATCGAGATCGGTTACTAACTTCAATATTAAGGGGGCTAATATTTAAGAACAAAAACATTCGTCTCTGTCATTGACTAAATATAGAATAAATTTTTAATTTATAACATATTTATTATAAAACATCAAGCTTTTTTATTTAATCTAACTACAGTTAAGGGTAACTCCCTACAAGTTCATAATTCCACCTTTCAACTATACTCACTGACAGGTATATTCCTACAACTAGTTGATTCCTTAACGGATACTGGGCCGTCGTTTTTAATCCAAACGTAATTTAAGATGAAATATACTTCCATTGAATTTAACCGGTGATATTCGACATAACCATTAAGATTTCCCATAGCAGAAGAGCTGTGGACAGCGTCACAGCTGAGCAGCCGTAGCCGCGCCGCGTAGTCGCTACGTTTTTAGTGTGGACGTAGTGGTGAAGGGCTCAGTGTCAGTGCGCGTGGGCACTGCCAGCAGCTTTCGAGCCAGGCGCGTGAAGGTGCATCGGAATTGGCGACTCATGCTGCAGTAGAGCACGAAGTTCACGGCCGATCCCACGAGTGCCATTAGATCCATAACCTCACCTGGACAGAAAATGAACTGTTAATCTGCAACTGAGAAGTCGCTGAATGAAAAAGGCAGCGCTCTTAAGCTGTTTCATAAAGATAAAACCTCGCCAGTTATCGTTCCAGTTATTAGTGAACATTGACTGAAGTGAATAGACAAATCGCCAGGACCAATCCTTGACGGTTCGCAGAAAGTTGAATAAGTTTTGGAAACAAAATGCTTCATCTGACATCCCCAAAAATATAACGCAATTATTAAAGTTGGATTTATTGCCTCTGGCTTCAGATCATCATTAATCATTATCGACATTTGTCTTTCTCGTCGACCAATTAGTCATTCAAGGTCTAAATTAAAAACCTTGCTTCAAATTCTTTGTCGTAGTTTGTCATTGTGACATTTCTTATATACGAGTATATTTGGAGATACACTAGGATTATTGCATTCACTTACACGCTTAAACATAACCTAATCAATGTTACATTTAACATTGATTAGGTTATTTCATCATCAACAAAAAAAAAACAAAAAAAAAACAATAGTATCAGCATCAACAAAAAAATTTAACTCATATTACACCTTAAGCATGTAAACATTATCTTTTCTCGAAAGAATCTTGACAGTGTCAAAACAGAGTAGATGTAAAAATAAGACAACAAAGATCTGCGCCGATAATCCATTAAATCCTTACGATACGTATTTTTCAGAAATTCCCAGAAGCGTTGTTTGTTTACGTAGGCATATTTACCAATTTTAATGAAAGATCAACAAGTCGGCTAAATGATGTTACTCAATCTATTATTGGGTCGACAACATCTTCATTTAATCTTCGGCCCGCCTGATTACCCGGCTCCCACATTTATTTCCTAAACCTCGTACTCTCAACTCCTTCAAAAACACCCCTTATAACAACTCAATTATATCATCTACACCTATGAATCATTTTAGCGTTTATCTTGTTTATTCATTAGCGTGCCTACTAACTATAAATCATTACGTAAGTAAATCCCTATCAATCCGAAGATACATGCATAAGCGATGAGGTATAGCATTCAGACCGTTTCTATCTATTATGCAAATACGAAAATTATCGCGCGTCCGCCTAGGTATCTGGGTATCGTGTGGTACATACCGTATACACTACAGTTATTATTAACTATTGCTATATATCTAATAATAGTCCATAGTCGATCGATATTTTTTTTTATCTTTGGCATTTATTTATGTTCTAGAAAAAACTTTTCCCTTTCAAACTCGCCTGCGTCCGCGTTCCGTTAAGGACTGTCTTTTAAAAAACCAGAGCCTCGAAATGAAGATCTAATGAGGAAAAAGCGCTTTGATAAGAAAAGAATGAATCGCCCATTGAAAAATTGAATGGATAGAAAGGTCTAAGTGGTATTAATTAATTTACGTGTTCAACCTCTTCGCAGATTCTTATTCATTCCGTTTTAGTTATACATTTATCGATCAAAAAAATACAGCGCGAAATATATTATTATTTATATCGTATAATTTTAAACAACGATCTGACGGCGAGGATGCTTTTCAACAACTGTGGTCACGAGGGTCTGAAGATAAAGCTGTCCCTAATGTCAAAGCCAAATCTGCGTACTGCGTACTGCTACTCGCGCTACTAACTTCAATAGTTACAGCCGCCGTAATATATTTTTAATAGACAGTATTAATGATAACAACAATAATAACGAACACATTCCTCAAAATAAACCCAACCATAGACAAAAGTCTTAACTCGCAACGTGTGAACATATACACATGTATGGACATTTCGTTTCACACGATTATAATTCAAGTGTCTCCTAATAAAACATGACTTCCGCCGAAGTACTCGTAAAGTTTATGGTATTCAATCAGGACTTTGTAAGGTTTAGTGAGTTTTATGAGCCGATTAATATCCGCGATGTAGCGATAACGGCTTATGGTGTTTTGTCACTGAGCTGAGTCAAAAATCCATGTCGGGGGTTATATTGAAAATTAAATTCATTTTCTATTATTACTTCAGAAGGGGGCCACTTGCTTCACGTTACCTTTACTTTGCTTAAACGCTTAATTGAATAGTTTTTAACGTGTTTTTGCTTCGAGATAACAAGATATCAACCAACTACCAACTGAGGCAACATTGTCTTTTTGAAAAGTTATTTCTTGATTATATTTAATTACTTTAGTTAGATCAATTGTTTTGTTTTAATTCTAAAATGTACATATACTAAGAGATATTTCTACTTACGGACTTATTATCTTTATTAAGTCTTCTCGGTGGATAAATTAGCTGCCTCCACAGAGTACGCCTATTTTTATGTTCGTTCGGCTCGATATCTCACATGTCAACGACATTATGGAAATCGTATTTAGCTTATTGGAGGTCGTGAAGATGATTTTATATTGTCATGTTATTTGAATTATTGTATTGGTGTTATTTATGAGATAATGCTTGATTACCTCTAGTTTTATTAGGTCAGATTAATATAGTATATTTATGTAGTATTTGTTAGTTAAAATTTGCACATGATGGCACTATAAAAGTAAAAATCGATTTTAGATCAATAAACATTTTACGACACGGGCAGGAGTTGAACCAGCATCCACAGCGTTCCGTGCTGTTGGTCTAGCTAATTGAGCTAATGAGCTACCGAGTGGATGCCGGTTCAAGGTCTGCCTGTGTCGTAATTTTTTTTCAATCTAAAATCGATTTTTTTTATACAATTTGACTATACAAAAACAACAATTAACTATCATTATAGAAAGCTAAGAAAACATACGTTGATAAGAACAATATTGATATATTCAACTTTATTTAAAGTCACTTAAATATTCATAGAGATTGCGGCAGACTCTGAATTCAGGTGGCGTAGCCATCGGGTCTATATTAAATCTCTACGATGCTGCTGATTGCGAAGTCCAGCCTTCGATACATTTTTTTCTGATTCTCAACTGTATATCTCGTTGCGATGTTATCTTTGATTTATGTTCTCCGGAATTCTTCAATCTATATAGGGATCTATTTTGTTAACATTGACTTAGTAATCGGAATTCATATAACGAAAAATATATCCGATGTTAATAACTTGTACACTAACGTAACTTGTTTTGCAACATTTTGTTTTCTTCTTTTGTTTGTATTTGAAACAACGGACATCCTTAATGAAATCACTGTTCTAGTACTAGACATGAATTAACAATGACATTTATTTAAAAGAAACTACAAAGAATGCAGGAAGCTATCTATCGCTGTCAAAAATGTTATATGAATATTTTATTCTGTTTGGCCCTTACCGAATGCGTAATAGCATATTTCGAAGAACTGCGGTGCAATCGCAGCGAGCAGCCCGAACAACGCCTGCGGTAGCTCCGTGGCCAGGAACAAGCCCAGCAGCGCGACGAGCATTCTCGTCGTGCGGTCCGTGCGGCCCCCACCTCCTCCACCGCGCTTGCCGTCCTCGTGGAGACGACCTTTTTCGCCCTACAAAATGTTTCAAAATGGCAGATTCAATCTTTAAAAAAATATTCTATTTAAGGAACAACACGTGTATTACAATACAAAGTCTCGATAAATTGCGTAAAAATAAGTTAACATGTCTTTCAACAGGCCGCGAACTTTCAAAGAGCCAATTAATCCAACGTAACATTTTTCAGGAGCTCATTTTCTCCATATTTAAACTGTTCGTCATTAATCAAAGGTAGCGAGTGGGATTCACGACGAGTTGGATGTTCTCGTTCCCAGATAAGGGACCAACATAGCGAAATAGGTCAAATTTTACACGTACTCGAGAACCCCTGTCAACAGCGTTAAACGGCGATTCGTAGATGTGCTACGACCGTAGGTCCACTACGAAACCTTTAATTCTCGCATAGAATATTTAATTTTCAAGTACAAATAAAAGGGTTGTCATCGTTACAATGTCAACATACATATTTATAACGAAGGTAACTCGACCCCGCACGGTTGGAAAAATTCAAAAATAAAAATGTACCGCCACCTCCGAGTAGAAGATGAAAGGAATGAATATTATTCGAAAATGTTACCGCCACGGTACATTACACCCGTTCTCACTTAGCCCTAAAGCGCTGACATTTTTCGCTAAAGAATAATACACAATAGTCAGCATCGATACATGCGTCATTTAATACTCATATCTTGAAGAGTTGGAAGCGAGCGTCGCTCCTCTGCGCCTTTTCTTTCTGCGTTCCACATAATATATAACATACATCTCATCGATGTACCGTTGTACATCTTAATTTCTGAGACTAAGCCGTGGAAATCTTTTAATTATTTACTAATCAATTCTTCCTCATTTCGGTTAGATCTGTCACTGCATAAATATTAAATGAAATCACTCTCTCGCCGTAAACCCTACGCTGAGATTTAGACCGTAAATCTCAGTTCTCAGGATTGTTACATTCGAAGGATTTATTGTACTTCTTATTAAATTCTTTCAATAATTCATAGAACAAATGTTTTCACACTTAGGAAAACCAGTTTAGTACAGATTACTGTAAGGAAAACACTCACTAATATTGTTGAAAGAAGAGGAGCAAAATGTGAAGATAAAAATAACTAATATTTATGCAAAAATGTAAAGCCTAATTAGTTGTGCAACCTTTTTCAGAAAATCATAGCGTTAATAATGAATTATTAAAAATGCAAAATTTACCTCTGTCGCGGTAACCGCCGATTTATTCAACAATTTCTGCCTTCTTCTGTCGCTGGACTTCATCTTCATAATTAAGCATACACTGAGGATGGACAGCACTATACACGGGATGAGCTTGAGAAAAACGCTGTAGATCCAGAAAATTGTTATCAGCAACTCCTTATTATTGGTCATGGTGAGCGCGTATACCGGTTCCCTGGTCTCCGCTCCACTTAACCGCATCGTGCTGTTCACCGTTTCTCTAGTCGTGTTCGCCGCGGGCAGCTCCTGGATGTGCATGGCAAAGTAGATCGGAAGACAGGCTATGGGGCACACCGCGTAAGCGATGGCTATGGCGATATTTGTGTTTCTCTTGTTGCAAAGAGTACGATTCTTCTGCGGGAACTTGATCGCTATGTACCTCCAAACCGCCAGAGTGATGGTGAGCCATATAGATATCGTATGGAATGTTTGGCTAAAAATTGAGTGGAAATAAACGAAAACCGCCCACGCGTACGAGTTCCGATTCAGGTCTGCGCCGATTTTAATGTAAATGTGCAACGCGAAGGGTACATAATCCACCATAACCAGAAGGTCCGCTACGGCGAGAGCGGTCAGGATAGAGTTGGTGGATGAGATCATTTCCTTTCGACTCAGCACTGCGATGTTAACGGAGTTTGCGACGGAGCCCAGGAGACAAATAAGTAGGGCGATGTAGCCGTGGACCTTGACGTATACGCGCTGGAAGTCGAGTCCACCGGGCAAGCAGTACGCCACAGTGTCGCCCTCTGTCTCCAAACTCGACATACCTGTCTTGTTTTTCTATCGACGAGATCAAAACTTCCGTCTTTTTGTTCCGGGGCTCATTGTCTGAAAATAAAAATAAAGACAATTATTATAAGTCTAAATTCAAAGGGAAAATAGGAGAATTAACACCGGCGCCTGAGGCGATACTCTCGAGTCAAGGTAGAAAAAACAATCGTTCCCTTAGATGGCTTTACATTCATAACAATATTTCTATATAAATTGTATATAACCTAAACGACGGTATTTTTGCTCGATCGAGTTGAATAGTTTTACCTATGCACTCGTGAAGACGAGTCTATTTCTCAATAACGATATACATACACATGTGATCGTACTCCGAGTAAGCAGGCACTAGTACCCGCATTCAATCCCCTGAATCCTGTCACACTTGACAGGCGAAACTACGAACTATGCTCTGCGAAGTCCTATCCGACGAGCATCTTTGCTTCTATTAGAGTAGAACGTTGAGTGACGTGCTTCGAGCACTCCGCGCGACTGCTGTAGACAGATAGATATTTATTTATGAGTCGGCGATGGTCTTCATGAATTATTACCTAGCAATACTATTTCGGAAATTATTCATAATATAATGTAAGCGTAGTCCACAGAAAACTTTGTTAAAAACGTACATAGTTAAATAATTGTCATATTTATTTTTTTAAAACGGTGTTAAATATCGCTTACGTATGTAAAAGGTAACAGTTGTAACTAAATACTTATGTAAAAGTTGAAAATCTTACATTAGATGCTAATAATTTGTATAATTCCCATAACATTTCACTTCATTCACCGCCCTGTGACTTCAAAATAAACTTTAATTGCTCGTCACGAGTCACCTTGTTTGCAAACGTTTACCTATCCACATTCCGATTGAGATTATGTTCAGTTTATTTTTAACAAATGCTGCTTTTTGTAATTAAAAATTATTTTTTCGTGCCTAGACCTCCTCTAAGATTTAAAGGACGGCTTCATTTCTCAAATTAACTGAACACCGAAAGTATGCTTTACAGAAATCTTCGTAATTTTTACTTGAACTGTAGCCATTTAAGCTCTACGTGGTCGCGGTGATTTTGCTAATGTCAGACGCTCGGATGTCTTTCAAAAGGTTGACTTAATTACACATTTGCTAATAGTGTCAGGTGTATAAACAATAAATAATATCGTCACGCAAGAGCGACGCGGAATAATAACTTAGGTGTGCAAAGTAACGTTTTAACACACAGTCGAAATCCAACTAGTTTTTGAACGATGTAAATTGAATCTGGATGTCTTATATTTTCCTCACCTCAACCCAACCTATTCCGTCTTTATTTTATAATAAATTATAAACTACAACTTTGGTGAGCATTCATTTTAAGTTAAAATTTTATCAAATGATGTTTTTAAACTTGTCTTATAATTGGCCTTTCGAACGGAAACTAGTTCCTGAGACTAGCGCGTTCAAACAAACAAACAAACTCTTCAGCTTTATATATTAGTATAGATAAATAAGTGTACGTAAAATAACAATGATATAAGCTCGTCTGCATACGAATGGCGTAAACGGCGCATAATTAAGTCCGCGAGCGTTCAATCATGTTTTACCTCCGAACTCCAAACAAACATTGCCGACTAGTAACGAAATTATTTCGAGTACGTCTGTCTGCGGGACCAATTATTTAGGTTTTAGAACTGAAGACACGTCTCAGACGAACGGATCAGAAGCTAAAAATCGAATGTTTACAAAACAAGAATAAACACACTGTACGCTTGCAAAATTAACGCCACTGAAACGCGAAATTTTCATATTTTATGTCAAATTCTTTATATTCCATAGTTTTTACATTCCATTTAAAATCTATTGCAAATACACAGTTTTTTATGCGACGGTTAGAGTTTTAAAGGCCGAGTCATTGCAGGCGAAAAATAAAGGAACCCTGTTATTGTACAAGATACTAATAGTATTTTTTTAAACATCGTTTCCACACACAGATGAGAGTCACAGAAGAAGTTTCCTCTGTATGTTTTCCTGTGTTTAATAAATTGAAAACTCCACTTACAATTAAAACAATTTCTGTAACGATTCGTGTACGTGGATTCAATATTTTTCATTGTGTTGTCTCTTATTTGGAGGCACACAATCGATGAGCATTCTCTCGGGACTCACTATCTCTCGACGAGAGAAGTACTTCATATTGCAATGTTTTGCAATATTTTTATGTGCTACTTTGAGCATATTTATTTTATAACGATGTGTTTGCTTTACGGGGTTTTTGATAAATATGACAAACTAGTATGTCAATGACTGATGGAAGTGTGAACATTTTCTCAAAAAGATAGAATGGATACAAGCTATAATTTATTATCAAGCTATATATATAATTTTAATTGATCAGCGCTTTTTATCTATTTTCGGTCGGAGTAACTAAGTTTTTAGCTTAATTTCAAGTAAGTCTAATTGAACTCTCGTCATCATCTCAAGTTTCGACCGACTTTATGGCTGCACTCGTGTTTCATATTTCAAGTCGAACCCCCGACAGATATCGCCATCAATTTCGAACTCTTCGTTGTATTACTGAGTTGGAAAGTTAATACATTGATAATTAAAATAAGAATAGCGTAGCATACAAGTTCATAAATTTCAGGACTATTTTAAAAGAACTGTAACGCAAATCGAGATGTTGGTTTAAATATTCAAACCGCCACACTTACTTTTGAACAACTTAATTCTGAAGCATATGTTTGCATACGTACAGTTTTAGCAAACGAAGCGTCCACATTCCGGTCACGTCCGGGCCTAGGTCTTATACGGTTTTATTTCGATTCAATAATTGATGAAGTTAGTTCGCTCGACTCGGAAACAAATAGCGAGCACTATCCTCGTCCGTAACTGAATTGCAACAGCGGTAGTCGGAGATAAAATCTGTGCGAGCGGACTTTTAATATATTCCAATCACGATTCGGGAATAGGGATGTCTTTGCACGCTGCCTAGTTTATACATTAGATGTATTTTTTAACATCATCATATAATATACGGAGAAGAGTATCGGTGAATAAAGTAGCAGCTACTTGCGAACTTTTATGAAAGTTTAGTTCTTTGCAAATCGTACAGTGCGTTAAGTGCTATATCGACTTTTTTTATGAACTATTAAAATATAAAGTTGTCCGACAAGAATTTAAAAGTGTGTCTTGGCTTTTACTAAGCGGCAACCCTGTTGTCGGCCATCGTAAATACGTCTACGAACAGCGAAACTACCCTCGAACACTATCGTGATTAGATTGGGATCGGATATATAGCGGTGTAACACGTTCATAAGAGTTTCTGATTGCCCCAACAGTAGTCAGGACGCCGAACATTCAATTAAAGCTTGTATGTGTATAACAACAGCGGTTGTAATTCTACTTTCAAATATAATATCAGTAAGACGTCGAAGTTCAATCAAAGGGAAAAAGCTTTGCCTTTTCAGGATAAGTTATTTACTATTTTAAATCATTGTCGTGTCAATGTTTACCTACGCCATACTGAAGGAATCGTGAGGTTTATTTTAGTGTATAGATAATTAAGTAGTAGGACTATTGTTACTAAAAATACGGCGTAGAATGTTTCCCTACTTTCCCGCTAGACCGGCACTCTGCGCGTCTCTGCGTCTCCACGCGCTACGAAGTATAACTAAGCGGTGAGCCGTGGCTGTTTTATTACAGTTCACTTAATTAAAACTCCGACCCATTCGAAAATTACCGGCAATAAAACCGCTTATTATAAAGTTTACGACTGAATAGACAATCCTTTCACTATCGTTGCGGTAATTTATACAGAAAAACTACTTTAGAATTACCTTCCTAGTCATCAATCAAACTAATTAGTAGCTAAGAAATAATTATTATGTGATGAGGTTTCGCTAAATTACTCAAAGGTTAGATAAATGACGCCATTGTCTTAGTAAAACTGTGAGAAAGTAATTATATATTATGTCCTTCCGTAATAACTGATCTAATAGGAAGCTGTTGCATAAAAATAACATCAGTTAGTTTATGTTAGCGCTATAAGTAATAATGTAAACGAGAAAATTTAAAAAAGTCAGTCGTAATATACATATATAGATTTAACTTGATTCAGATTTAATTACTATTGTAGATAATTTTAAAGACTAAAATGGCGCATCATAATATATATGTGATAAGTGAAAAATTTAACCAAAATTTTGTTTTATATTTTACTTATTGCGAAAGCTTGTTTCGGTTTAATAAAGTTTAATAAATAGCCTGAAAACTTATTTAACCCATGATCTTAATTTCAGCACACGAGTAGTTCGTGCGACAGATTCCAACTTATTTCTTTAATTACTAATTCAATTAAAAACTTACGCAAATACTTGCCTAATCTCCTAATATTCGCTTATCACAAACAAACACTCCAAAAAGCGTTCGTTCACAGTCATTCGATTGAAACGTGGCGTTATCGACCAGTATTATGAGCGAAAAGTTGTCGAAGGATAACTTTTCGTCAAGATTTTCGGGTGGGCAAGAACATCGTGCGAACAATTGATTTCGTTGCGTTCGCAAGTCGCCGTCGTTTAGCGGAGCGCGCTGTGGCGTGCTACACTCGAGCCGCTCGCATCGCAACTGCTGTGGCCCGTAGCCCGCTGATAAACAACGGTGCGAGGCAGACGGATCCGCGTCCGTCTCGCCGAAAACCTTCCCATTTCACTTCTTTCCCATTGAATCTTTTAAAACTGCTTTTAATTCGGCTAAATCCCAATTCGGTTCTCGATGATAATCGCGACACACTTTAAAAGCCGAACACGGCTAGCGGGCTCGATGATAAACAGAATTCTCATTTACAATTCAAATGCTCGCTCGGGGCGTATTTTTACATTGACAGAGTAAACCCGACGCACACGACCACTGAAAAATTTATCGCTACTATACGTTGAAGAGATTTAAAGCGGTTAAATTAGAGCCGTGAATCACTCCGTGTCCTGTGCGGTCTAATGAGTTTTATTTTTAGTCGTAAAAATAGAACGATCATGGACGAGGCCTGAAAGGCGCTTCGGCTGCGTCGTCGTTCGAGTGATGTGGGACCTCTGGCAAATAAGTATATAAAGTATCCAACGGAATAATTATCCCGCTGTACCGTTTTTTCTGGTTGTATTAATTTGGAATTTCTTTACATGGCACGTTTTTGATTGTACACATATGAAAAATCTATTATTACCATAAAATAGTTTATTTCAAATGACTCATATCATTCCCAAAAAGATTTCGAACTGTAAGTTGTTATTGTGTTATTAGTTTAAAGTAACAATCAGTCTTGCGGTCAAATTTTTCTCTAAACTAACTATCAATTAAAACTGTTTAAAAGTATACTAAGTACAAATCACGACAATTTAAAGTTCATGATCTTAGTATACCAGAATAAACGTCAAATTAATACTCCTCTTCCTCGCATCGTCTTCATGTTTTCAGGGTCGTGACCACCCCGCTAATAATCGTCCGAATTTCGACCGGTCTTCGGTGAATATGTGAAAAATATTCAAATGTACGCTTCAGACAGATGGTAGTGAGCCTTGTTCGGACTTTGAGCAGTTTAAGTAACGCGACGTGGGTTCGAAACGTAGTCCAAGAGATTCAACATAACAATCTGAAGATACCGTCTTCTGCTAACAGTTTATGGTCCATGTTTCAGACGCATATAATAAAACGGAGAAGACATGCGTGCGGACGAGTTTGGTTTCAGTGTGACGTGTGTCCGTCTCCTCATGTTGGCGCAACTGAGACCTGGCACTCTAAGCCATTCCAATACGTCCCCGTATATCAGGTTCACAGTAGCCGTTATTCGTGACTGTAGCTCCAAGGAAATCGACTTCTTTAACAACTTGTAGGTTAAGTGCGCCAGTGAGCTGCATGGTGTCGTGTCATTCCTGTCTATGACCATATTTATTTCTGAACTTTATTACTGATCTGTTCCATTCTTTATTAAATACTATTCACTGTAAAGTTATAAAATTCTAACCGACTTCATTTTTTGGAAATAAGAACTGCTTTATACCTACTTGTGAAATACATGTAATTTATTCTTGAGCGATGCTTTTGGAGACCAAGTACGTGACCTAACTTTAAATCAAATTATTTAGCGATTGCTTATGCGTTAAATCGCTTTTGAACGGAAATCTTAAAAAAGGCTTTTAAGGCACCAAATTACATTTTGGTCTTAGCGAAAAATAAAACATGCATCCGAATATCCAAAGATATCCGAGAATTGCTTGGCTTCTTCTTGTCGTGTGTCCGGAGCGTTTTGTGTCACGTGACAAAACTTTAAAAAAGTTTATTATATTTGCAGGTTTTTTCATTAAATCAATTATTATTTTAACGTCTTTGCTGTTTTCCTATTTCTAAACGTATATAATCGACGCCATATTTTTCGCTTTGCAAATAGCCCATTGAAAACCAAGCTCGTCTGTCTTAATATAATTTTTATTGATTTTATAAAAATATAATCCAAATGGCAACCAGAATTGCGTGGATAATTGTTAGTGTAAAGAAACTGTTTTTTTAACAATTTATTAAAATTAGTAACTTACATATCTGGATTTAAATCGAATCAAACACACTTACAGGAAAAAGAAAATTACTGAATGACAATACTTTAATTAAAATAAAAGTTTCGAAACATGTAAATCGAGCAGCATCACACACCATCTTTGAAATTAGTGTCCTTAATCTAATCTACGTTTTACGTATCTCAAAGTCCGAGAACTTTTAGACCTAAGTAAATGCTGTCTAGGCGGTATTTGTTTAGGATCATTTAAACGAGGAAGTTTGTTAGACTATCATTTCAGGAAATAAAACATTACATGAATTTTATTTTTACCTACGACCTACACGTTTTTTACGAGTCAATAAATACCTATTAAATGTTACAATAATTATTTTAATCGAATGCATCATTATCAATATAGTTAATTTCTAAGCATTTCTTAATTCTAAGTCTTATTACATAATTTTATTCAATATTGCTTCTCCAATCACTAATAGTCCACCGACCTTAGACTAAGTTCTGTTTTTAGATAATTCTAAACCTACTCTGTAATATAACTAACTATAACTGTAATCTGCACTATTTCTCTGACAGTTGACAATTGACATAAATATATACGCGAATCGTATGTCACAGACGCGTGTTTCTTTAACTTCATCTATACCTTGTTGGCTTTTATTCAATAGTTTGTATTTTTGAATGCCGGCTTAAATATCAGAGTAGACATACTACAGTTATTCTGAATAAAAGCCGTATATTTTATTCTGTTAACCGTAAATTTAAGCCATTAGTATTTGAAAGTGAACACTAAAATGTATTGAGACAAAGTGTACAATCGGAAGATTTACTTATAAGAAAATTGTTGCCGCCAGAAGGGATCGCACTATAATTGACTATGTTTGGAAAGGAGTCATGCACCTTCGTATTATTCTTGTTGATCGACTACGTGACTGGTTTAGGTGAAATAATTTATGCCGTCAATGCAGGCGGTCCGGCTCATACTGATATATATGGTATACACTACGAAAAGGATCCACTACAAGGAAGAATAGGCACCGCATCTGATTATGGAAAACAATTTGTCATGATAGGGCGAGTCAATTCCAAAGACGAAATTCTTTATCAAACTGAACGTTACCATCACAGCACATTCGGTTATGATATTCCAGCCAATAAAGACGGCGACTACGTTCTAGTGCTCAAATTTAGTGAGGTGTATTTTAATGCTCCTAACATGAAAGTGTTTGATGTTGTGCTAAATGGTGATCACACTATTGTAGCTGATTTAGATATTTTTGATAAGGTGGGTAGGGGTGTCGCTCACGATGAGTATATTCCGTATTCTATTAAGAATGGTAAACTCTACTACAATGATGAAGAGTCTGACATAAGAGGAGGTAAAATAAAAGTTGAATTTATAAAAGGCTACAGGGACAATCCTAAAATAAATGCTCTGTATGTAATGAAAGGTACAATAGATGAAGTACCCAAGTTGCCACCCGTAGTGTGGCCTGAAAATGAGGCGGAAGAGCCCCGGGAAGAAGTGGAGGAAAAAGCTACAAAGTCCCGAAGAGCAAGTGGCCCTAAACAACCTGACCCATATTCCATAGATGACAGCTCAGTAATGGTTCCATTATTTATAACGATCGGTGCTTTCCTTCCACTATTGTTTTGCCTGTGCAAACTCTAAATTATTAAAAAAAATATAATTAGGTTGTATTTAGAATACTTAGATCTGCCCCTGGAAAGGTAAACTGACATTCTCTCAATCATGGTAAAAGGTACCTAATAAAAGTTATATATCTATATCCTATTTTATAATTTGTTACTATTAAACCAAATAGTACAAACAAAAATGTATTTCACTAGGACCCGTCCTACCTGATATAATATTTATATGAATGACATTATTATATTACGCACTTCTCACTACACATGCACTTATGCGTCAATAAAATTTCTTACAAATGCTGCTGTTTTTAATACTTTCTTAGAACATGTAATAAAAGCGTCAATTGTATTTTTAATCCTTTATTTCTTTATTGAATTTATAAATTAATTACAATAAAATGCTTACCAGTTTTTTCTTATTGGCATATAACAAACTATTACTTTTACCTGTTTAGTACCTGATAGAAGAGAATAGGTATTTGCTAGTCGTCTTTGTTTTCCCTTTTCAATTTCAGTTTTTGTGATAGTTTCACTAATTTTAATAATCTGAAATAAAACACGAATTACAATAAAAAAAGCTACACTAAATTTTGAAAAAGTTAATTTTATAATTATTCTATAAGAAAGTGTTAGTACATACTAATAAAAGTAGTCATTGCGGACGTAACACCTTTCACTTAGGAAGGCGTCTTGGCTTAGTTTTCTTTTGCGAAATTTTATAATGTTAAAAACTTTTAACTTTGACCGTCTGTTATGTCTCAGAGAAATAATGCTTCGTTTTTTTGCCCGTTAAGACTGATAACTTCTCAAATACCTACATAGAAATACACGTTTAAGCAAGACGGAAAAGGAAAATTAAGACGTAGGGTATACTTACGCGTTTCCCGTTCCATGTAATTTCAACTCACATTCTCCTTTGTAATTTAGGACAAAACCTTTCTTGCACCTCGTAACATTCGCAGTAGAATTAGAGTTAACGGTTGAATTTCTATTATTCGGCAGAGCTTCTGTTGAACTATCAATTGAGTTTTTTATCGTCGTATTATAGTCGATAACGGTCACGTCTGTCGGAGTTTCGGACGATTCGGTCGGAGCTTTTGTCGGAGCGTCCGTCTGTCCCGGCGGAGCCGACGTCGTTTTATCGGACACGACAGAGGTGTCCGTACCGGTCGAAGCGTTTAACGGCCGCGGCGTCGTCCGGTTCTGAGGCTTTATCGTCATTTCGTTGTAATCATAGGCATAATCGTAATCCTGCACATAAATAAAACTAGTTATTGCTTATTACTGAAAATCCTATTTCTTTAAATCGGGAACCTCCAATTGTAAATAGATTGTTTTGTCGGACAATTGAATTATTTTTACTGTGCGATGTGATATTAGGATGTATAAATTACGAACACAAATTTAAAGTAAACAAAATTTACATAATGAGGAGGCCACAGCCCGCATTGGAGATTAAAATCCCGGAATATAAAAGATTGGATATACTTATATCCTTATTCATACAAATTTTTACTTAAACTAACTACAATTAATATTACGTAAATGAATCGATCGTGAATTGTTGTGTTCTTTTTAGCTATAGTAAAATTTATATTTACAAACAAACTTATATATTTTTTTAAAGAATCTAAATGTTTATTATTTTATAGGGAATAAAGTATATTGGATTTTATTTTATAGTTACGTCATTTAATTAGCACGACATGGATTGAAATTATTGTTAAAAGTTGGAATTGTAAACCTCACCACATATTCCTCTTTTCCGCCGCTCAAAAGTGCTATAATCTGTAAATCTTTCAAACCCACTTGAACATTGAAATCGCCGGATTGGCTTTGATCGTAATGGGTGCAATCGCTGCACCTCATTATTGCGGATATCATTAGAGCAATTGTTGCGCACTTCATTTTTATAATTATTTATATTAAACCCAAATCGAGTCGAGCCAACTAAAGAACCGCGCTTTGTCACCGTCGCTGTTCTGACTTCTGAGAGATGCAAGTTATTTTCATCAACAGAACAGTTACTTCAAGTAACCGTAGACGGGTCAACAGCCTTTGCTTATAAGTTGCGCACTTTGCTCGCACTGCCGGCGACATGAGATACCGCACAGGGGTCTCATTTATTGCAAAATTGAATATTTCCACGACTAAAAGTGCTACTGCTTTTTACTGAGACAATTTACACTGTATTTAAATAAAACACTTTTAACGGTTCAAAACGCGATATATTAGTTAAACTTATTTGAAAATTATTTTTAACTTCGGCCCGACGTTTAAACTATAAACAGTATTCAATTTACACTGAATAAATATATTTTAAAATGTGCACATAGGCGGTTATGTTGTATTATTCAACAATAAGTCATTAACTTATAAATCGATGGATGACTTGCGTTTTTAGAACAGTAATCGCAATTATGGTGTATTTGAAATTTTCTAAATAAAAATAATTATCAACATAAGTATAATATTTAGATTTCACCTATTTATTAATCAAATGGAGAGATGCACAAAGTTATGTAAATTTAGTATTTATGATTAAGAGCTAGAAGGAATTAAATTAAGTATTTAGTTACAATAAAAACAATATTAAGCAAATGGTAGGTGGAAAGTCGTCGGTACTGGAGGTGCAGAGATCTCACTATTAATATTACATAGAATTAAGTTATGTGTATAAAATAATTGAGATTTAATACAAACGGTTTTGTCCAATGTCCCAGAGGGATTTAATACATTTGCGATTATTTCTGTAGATTTCAAATATCCCGCTTTGAAAGTTTGTCTAAAAACCTTAAATAGGTATACATAATACTTAACTTTAAGTATTAAAAGTCCTGTTTTTAGTTAAAGTCTGAGTTTAAGCGAAGAGAAGACTTCAAAAAACGAAGATTCTTTATTCGATTCTTATGTATATTTTTAAATCTCAATTTACTAAATAACAAAATAACACAACAACTAAATAAATTTAAATTCAACAAAATCCTATCACCGGCACACGTCCGTTCCGTACAACGAGCAACGAAAGTAGTGTCCGAGCCGTTGCTTGAGGCTTGTTTATATAGCCTTCATTGGCGGGTAGTTGAGGTTTTCTGATGATTTCCAACAATATTATATGTTTGGTTGCGTATAACTTTGATTTAGATGATTGTTTTTTTATTGGTATTTCTCACAGTAGATAATATATGATCAAAATCGAACATTAGTGTACAGATACATAATCTATTATCTGTGATGAAATTTAAAACAGACTATTGACGGCAGTGACATAGAATATCACAGTATAGTCAATATTGCGATATTCTATGATTAACATTTAACTGTTTGATTGAATCAAATCGCAGAATTTCTTTATTGATAACGTAATATGGGTGATGGTTTGTGATTTGTATCGAAAAACGGTAAAAAGGCATTCGGTGTTATAACAAGCACAAGACTTAACTAAGTAATTATGTACTCCAGTATGTCCACAAATTACTGACGACTCAGTAATTTGTGTTTATGTTGTGATTGGGTGTTTACCTTTTACTGTTTAACGTTCTCTTTATTTACAAAATATATTTTACTCGTGAACGTGAAATCTAACGTATTATGGTCATTATGCACTTTTTATAAACAATAGTTCAACCGTGGCGCAACCAAAAAATGATAAAGTTTTGGAAAAGTGCAGGTAAATAGGACATCATATGATCGATAAAATTGCACGAACATTAAATATTCCACATAAACTTAATTTCCTGAATAGCTGCTTTACATTGTTTAAATAAATATAAGTGACGTTGGCATATTTATGAGCCTTTTCTTATGCTTTTTTTAGCAAAAGGCAGAACTGGATGCCCTGTTAGGCCACCTGAAGATAATTTTGTAAAAAATGTTCATATCCCTGATCTTGATGTTGCTATATTAGGTGAAATAAATGGTAAGCTATTATTACAATTATTATTTTGTTCCTAGACATTGAATTTTAATACAATCATTTACATTTCAGATGTGGCTGAGGTGTTTGAAAAAAAGTCAAAACTATGTTTAAAGTTAAATGACATTTTAAATGATAAAGAATCTTGCAAAAACTTCATGCTCTTTATGGAAATTTCTGGAAATCAATTGGTTTTGAAGTGTTGGTTAGAATTTGAATATTTTCGATTAAATGTGTTATCCCACTATAGACATGAAGCAAACCATAGTAAATTGAGTCACACCAAAAGTTTGGATATTTACTGTACATGTGACAAAGGCAATTTTACAGACCCTAGATTTCAGAAATGGAGAGCTAGTACTAGTAATCTCGGTAAATTACAGAATATACATACAAGGAGTTCTTGTAGTAATTTAATAAGTAGTGATCTTGAAACCTGTGATTTTTGCAAAAGCAAACAAAATATGGATCTGACCCAAGAGGCTGTAAAACTTTTCAAGAAGTACATTGCACTAGAAGCACCGTGTCAGCTAGATATGCCAGATAAGTTAAGAAAGATATTAATAACAAATATATGCCAACCCGAGGGACAAATAAAAGAAGACTGTTTTGTACCGGTTCAGGAATGCTTGTTCCATTTAATGGAAACAGTTTACTTTGCTGATTTCAAAAATCATCCTCTGTATACTAAGTCTCAAATTGATGTTTTAACCAGTGGCTCCATTGACCTCAAAGATATATTATATAATGAAAGCATATTATTTTACTTTACAGAATACCTAGAACAAGAATCTCGTAGTGTACTTCTTGAATTTCTCATGGCAATTACTCACTTTCGAGATAATATCATTAACGGCAACACCTCACCTGACCAAGCTCAAACTGATGCCATCATATTGTATGAGAAATATTTTTCACTACAAGCCACTACGCCCGTAGGCTTTCAAACTGACGTCAGATTACAAATCGAAAATAATATTTGTAGAGAAGGAGGCACTATTGCCACTTGCTTTGATATTCCATATGTTATTGTATATCATTCATTAAATACTTTTGTAAAAACCTTTTTAGAATCCGAACTCTATTATACATATCTCTCGGAAATGGTAAAATCTGTAGACATGCTTTCTCCAACTGGTTGCAAATCTCAATCGGATTGCAGTAGTGAATTCAGCATAAGCACACACAACACTCTATTAGCTATGGGTGATCCTCTCTATAAGAAGAAACGGAACCTCTCTGTACCTGACATGACAATAGATTCTAACCAATTATACAATGCCGATGCTCTATGGCAAAGGAAAAAACATGATGGCCTCAGTCTAGGTAGAATAAATAGTTTAGGAAGATTCGAATCAAAGTTGGAGCCTGACCCGGATAAGAGAGATAAGTCAATACTCAAAAAAATGGTAAATAAATTTGTCCCCACGAGTACCTCTAGAGTTGAGGAGGAAATGGCGTGGCAAATAGCGCACATGATAGTCAAAGATGTAACAGATTTAACAATGGCTCCACCTGAAAATGATAATAATATGTGATAAGTAGCTTAGTTATGTTGCTCCATGTAAATATGTAATATTGGTTTTATGTAAAGATTCTATTAAACGTATTGAATTACAATTTCGATATTATTCCCTGGTGTTAATTTTTACATTAATAATTTTGCAAATACATACTAATAAGGGAAAACTTTATTATTTTTTACATGTTATTGCACATGAAGGCACTATATAATCTAAAAACCTTAATGCGCAAGTGTTAAGGTTGAAATTACATTGCGCGATAGGTGCATGTATCAATAAGTTGAAAAAATTCGACGATGAGGTGTAGGACTCGGTAGCACAATTGGTAGAGCAACAGCACGGAACGCCGACGATACCGGTGCAAGTCCTGCCCCATTTTTTAATTATACTAATAAGGAATATTACAAAGTTGTAGGTCCAAATTAAAGGAAACAGCTTTTAAAAATATCCATAATATATTCGTTGACGTTGTATAATTTCGGATAACACCTTCTGGTTGTAATTACTCTTCATACATTATATCATGGCACTTATACCCTGCAAGTGTAAACTGCGAACATGTCGTGATGGGCCCCACTAGGCTAAGATATATAAAAATAAAAAGAACAGGTTAAATAAAATGCTAACTGGGAACAGACAAATATTTCAGTCTTAGGTAACATAATGTTCCGCACTAAACGTTGAATTGTAAATGTGTGCGTAAAAACAATCATTAGGTACAAAAAGAGTAAAAATAATTATAATTTCATAACGATTACATTATGCTACATTTTATATTTAACCCATAGAATCAGTCGCCTTTGGGTTTGCAGGTACAAACTGTAATTATTCATCATTTCTTCTGTCCTTACAATTTTTTATTTGACATCTTTGGTGAAAATTACAAAATGGGGTATGCCTTAACATTGTACAAGTAAAGTAAAAGAAAAAACAACTAAATATCAGTATTTAGTACCTACAACGTACAAATTATTATACAAAAACGTCTTGATATGTTAAGATAGAAGGTCTTAGCAATACAGTTAATGTAATAATTCTGTAATATTTTTAAAAATAGTTATGAAAAAGTGACTGTCAATTATAATGTAGCATAATTATTAATAGTGGATGGAATGGGTGCTAGCAGCAATCTGGGTGGTTCTGAACCGAGCAGGGGCGATTGTTCATCATTGAAATTAAATTCTTTATTATCATTTTGGAAGATTGGCTGAAATCTTCTTTCCGTCACATTCCACTTCCTGTACACTAACGCATTGAGTAAGGCCTGCATTGGATTCATTAATGCCTGAAAAGATCGCAAGAGTCAGATCGAGTTTTGCTCTTAGTAGATAATATTAATTTTACCATTCTTATTTTACAATATTATTATCTTACCATTATGTACCAAATAGTTATGATGGCTTTTACAGGCATTGTAGACCACATAGTCCAAATTAAAATTCCATTGATAAGGTTTGGTAACCAGCAGATGTAGAAAACAATATTTATCAAAAAGAATTTAAGACGGAGTGCATCAACAACTCTTCTTTCTTTACTCGTAAACTGAAAAAAAAATGGGTGAAAAGCATAAAACTTTCATAATTAAATAAAAATAAATTAACATCAATATTATATACCTGAGCAAGTGGTAGGGCTATGGTCATTTCAATTTTCTTTCCCGCCAAAACATAAATAATTGGATTGACAACCATAACCAAAGCAATTGGTACGTAGGTTGCACAATAATTCGGGAGTATTCTTAACAGAACGCTCGATAGGGAGGTTAAATTATGGCACCTGTATCGAGACAAGATACCAATCAGATTTCATTGTTTAAAATGTTTAATTCCCCTCATTATTATGATTTACTTAATTTATGAAAACAATGTATGTTTTACTTACGTTGCATTGGGGATATATAAAATAGAGAGGCCTATACTAGTTGTTGCTGCTGGTATTCCCCATGCTAGCGAATGATAGATATTTGGCCTAGTGTCTTTTCCTTGTATGGATTGCCAAATATCCACAGCATAGAATAACGTCCAAAACCACGTAGCCGTGTAGAAGTATTGAGTCCAAGCCTAGAAATCCCTTTAATGTATGCTCCATTAAATGAGTGTTTACTCATTTGATGGAATATACATTAATTAAACAGATTAGTTTTTTCCTTATCATAAATGCCACAAAATTTGGGTTTGGATTCCTTTCAACAACTATTTCCTTTTTATTAAGAATGTTTATATAAAATAAGCCATTTGTCTATTCATGTCAGGCTGTATCATATTGTTCAATTACAGACACGATATGATAAAATACTTAATGCCTAACCACAAAACAGATCAGATTACAAACATTCACTTAAATTCATCCTCCTGTACAAGGTTTTGCTTCTAATACAATACTGTTTAAATAACAACTTTACATTATTTCGTTTATTGTAGAAGATAATATTTTTTTTTAATATCATGAAAAATGTTTAAGTCCAAACCTATGGCACATTTATTTATGCATTACCACACACATTATTGATCTAAAACAATATAATGTATTCAAATAAAATGTGTACTAACCGATGTTATGCTACAAAAAAGGACACTCATTTCATCATCAGGTGAAGGTAGGATATTCTTAAAACGAAGCCAAAATGAAGATCTGACCAATACACCTGAAATTGTTAAATTTAACTTTAGATGCACATTTTAAATATGGATTTTTAATATAATAGAAAAGATCAAAATATGATTTATGTGCATTTTTAATCGAGATTTTAATTTGTATGAACTTTCAAGTTGTAATTACCTAAGGATGCTAATAAATCTGCCACTGCTAACCACATAATTATACTCCTACCTCTATTTGGACTTTGTAGCTTGTGAGCACCGTTTTGAAAGATCTGAAATAAAGAAACCATTATTGTGATGAGATGTTCTTTAAAGCCAAAATATAAAAATATTAATTATTTACCTGATACATAGCACCGAGGATACCGATAGTGGATGATATCAAACAGACGGTGTTATAAGATTCAGTATTAAATTCATCCATAATTTTGATAGTCACTGATCCTTCTTGATCACCATTATGGTGGCAACAAAAAGTCTGAATTGTAGGATCAGACATGTTGGCGTTTAAATAGGACTTTAAGACTATATAATTATTGTTATTGAAACAAGTAATCAAAATAATTGTTACATAAACTGGTCAGACAACTGCCTAATTAAAAACCGGTGTACGGAGCGCTAACAGCAAACACAACAATCGGTAGGTCATCATGAATAATATGTAATATCATATTTATAACGCAAAAACATCAAATGCAATGTTTACACTTTACGTCGCGATCACGAATCTGGAGTTCGTGTTCACTGTTGACTGTTCGTTTTAAATAAATTTACCACAGTATATGTAAATTGAAAAAATTGCGGCTACTGACTAATTTTTGTTTTTACACCGGTCGACTCTTTACATCGTCAACGTCGAAGTTGTCAAGTGATAGTCTACTGTCAATATCATCGTTTTCTACTTTTTTTTTTCTTCATTTTTGGCAAGAAGAACTAACTATTTGCCAGTGTCAAGTTAAAGGCTGTGGTTAAAGGTAGGGAAACTTTACACGGAAAAAAAGGATATTATGACGGCTTATATATCGTGATCAGGAGAGTTAGGCAAAATTAATATATTAATGTAGATAAAATAAAAATATATAAACACTACAGTTTTACGTTATTAATAAATATAAAATGAGAAATGATCTTAAAATGTTTTTTAGGATACATACATAGATAGGACATACGAGTAGGAAGAGGAATATTCGATGAAATTAAAGAGGAATAAAAGGAGGAATGGTCATACAGGCGGCAAGAGAAAAATATATGATCTATATTTCCCTCTTCCTCACCACACTCACAAGTAGCATTACTTAAAACACCAATTTTGGCTAAATGACTAGGAATACATATATGTCCAATTCTCATGCGACTTATAGTGGAAATTATTATTTTACTTGCATCAACACCAAAAAACCAAGGTTTTATTGGTATTGTCGGTTGAATGTTATAATAGTTCCTTCCCTTATACTGTCCAGTCTCTGCCCAACCCTTATTCCATGCTTCAAAGTTTTCTACTTCTTAATTGCCAAATTGTTAATGTATTCTAGTCTAAAAAAAAAATATCATAGCAATCTAATATTTAAAGCTGAAGAATTTGTTTGTTTGTTTCTTTGGAGGCGCTTATCTCTGAAACTACTGATTCGAATTAAAAAATCTTTTTTAATTGGACCATTTATGCTATAACTTTAGACTATAAAACATCCGGGTGACTAAAATAAATGTAGAAAAAACGGGGAAAATTATTACTTTGGGGGCTACTTTTGCGTGCGCTACTAAAACAGTTAAAGATACCAAAAAATATGTATGATAGAACATGCCTGGTGACAGAAAGACAGTGAGTCAGTGAACTCTTAGTATAGTATAATAGGATATCTTTTCGTACCCTCTGAGAACGGAACCCTAAATAGCGGGATAAAATTCGCAAATGTTTAATTGTCGATTCATTTTATTCCATTAATTCTACTGCCTTTTCTAGGGATTATAAGGAATATACTTTACGAAATGTTAGAGCAATTAGCAGATCTTAAATCCGATGTTTTAGGAATTAACGTAATTTTGTCACAACTCGTATTTTATATTATTCTTCATATTAAAGTACAATGGATTATGAATTATCATCAAGATTTATTATTATGATGTTAAATAATTTATGTTTTTCCTACTGTTAGGACGCTAAATGCATGTGTGGCCATTACTGTCCGATTAAAATTATTACTTAGTCTTAAATGTTCGTTGGCATTAGTTGGACGTGTATTGGCATTTATTTAATTGTGGTTTTTGTTAGGGACATTCTCCAAGGCCACCGCCTATAATAAAATCAAACATACTGTCATTTGTGTAATACGTCAATACATTATAATAAGGTACACATCACAATTCTTAAAATAATTACTTGTGACTCCACTTTTAGATTATCTAAAGCAATAGTGGGTGTACACTTTCGTTCCAAGATAATAGAATGTATTGATTGAAAATCACGAATATTCACCAAAATCATATGTTTTATACAGTTGAACTAGTAATTGGTGCAGGTGTGCTTAAAGGTATCACGGTCAAGTTGTGTTTCACACTGTAGCATGGATTGATTGGGTCTCGAATTTCACCTGGTTCCGAAGTACAGTCCAATGCGACGGTCGAGTCTCTACCGTCATAGTCGCTCGCCAATTTTAGGGCTTTCGGTGAATTTGAATCGCCGCTATCATCATATAAGACAGTTCCATTCAAAGGCGCTTCCGTTACAAATACTGGCGGTTCCGTGACGTTATTCTGTGCCGCAGTGCTAAGAAGTACCGAACAAGGAATGGTCGTCATGAACTCTCTAGAATCTTTCGTTACAACGGTTATAGTGCACTTAGTGTCGTCGTTCCCATTTTCTAATTTATCATCTTTTACGTCCGCGTCTGGTCTAAAAGAGGTCGCAATAGAGCAAGGAATCGCAATAACCTCTGTGGCATTGGGGCTACTGATCGTTAGCGTACAATTAACCAAATCTCGTAGTATTGAGTCTTCCACTGGAGCAGTACCATTTTCAGGCGCCACGGCTACGGGTTGTCCTCTATTGTCATAAATAACCGTGTGATGGTGATGACCTGTTGATCGAGCCAAATTCCATAGCGCAAGACCAGTAAGGACGGTACCTATTCCAGCGCCTGCTAATCCCACACCGGCCAATGTACTACCGGAGCGACCTACACCTCCAAAACCTTTATTGGCGTAGCCACCGAAATATCCCGGCATTTGTGGACTATAGGACCCAGGACCTCCAAATCCATGATGTCCCCCATAACCACTGTAACCGTGTCCATAACCAGTATAGGGCGGTGGAGGGCCTTGGTGATTATAATTATTGCCATAGGCTGTGTACGGCGGTGGTTGTCCGTTAGGATTGTAGTTATTTGCAATGTTAGTTGGGTGGTTGCTTTGCATATTATTTACCGGATACTGTGCTCTTTGTGAGTTGGCAGATTGATACGAGGGTGGCGCTGCATTCGATCCAGATAAACCGGGGCCTTGCGGATAGGTGCCACCGGATCCTGATAGTCCATTAGAAGCCGGATAAGCGTGGCCGTTAGTCTGACTCGGCGATGGAGGTCGCTGGGCTGATTGTTGATTTGGAGTGTTACTACGTTGAATATGTTCTTGTTGCACAGCCGTCTGTTGAGGCGGACCGGAACCAGAAAGACCAGTGTTACTGGAAGGGTAAGAGTGACCCTGATTTCCGGTCTTTATCTGATGCGACTGAGATACTTTCGTCTTTTGAGCTGTCTTTTCTTGCCAACCAAATAGACTGGGTTTCGGGGCTGACGCTTGTGGATAGCTGAAGGAAGTAGGTGCCGGTTGAGGTTTATAATTTGTTTTCCTATTGGAACTGCGTCCAGAACTTCGGCTTCCAGAAAGCTTCTTACCGTCGATTACGATAGCAGTTATGAACAAGAGCAAAAATGCTATTTTTAAAAGTGGCTTTGCCATACTTCGAAAGTTTTTCACGAGCAATGCTAACCGTAAATTATATTTGCACTACAGTATACAAAGCTGTTTGAAACACTGAACAATAAAGCTATCGCGCAAGCTAACGTTTGCCGCAATACGTTTCTAGAATTGGATTGGTTGATGTTCGCCCGCCCTACACCTTGGGGCCCGCGACCGAGCTACTCTTTATAAAGGCATCGATTATTGCTATTACTGTAGGAGCTGAGCGGTATTAGGGTAACCTCGGTCTGGACTTTGACACGCACTGTCGACTACACGATATACAGAAATAATAACATACAAGTAAAACTGCCACTTTATTGATCTATGCTAATCGCCGAAATAGCAACCACTGTACTACTCTCGGCGTTCAGTAATTATCCTTACATAATTAGAGCAGTCGTGCCACCTCACGCTGTTAAATTTTGAAAAAAGTTGCTCATCATTGTTATGGGCAAGTTCTAATAAATAATAATACAGACTTATAACATGATAAAAAAAACAGATGTCGCTCGGCTATGATCCCGTGCTGTACTCTTATTACTCGAAACCGGATGCGATACTTTAGACTTGTTAGCTTCCAAGAATTGATACCGACCTATTGCGCACATATAAATGACAACACTTCTCATGTACCTACATCAAAGACCAAAATACGAAGATAAGATTCAAATTTTCATAACAGGGTGGGCACCTCTTAAATATGTATAGCAGTTGTTCTAAAAAAATATGCCAACGCTCTCAAATAACTGCATATCCGGACTAGACTATCCACTACTGGCTACCAAAAAGCTTTTAGCTACTTTGGTCGTTTGGCCCCTTGTGAACCCGACAACCTCGACAAACTGGTTGTTGCCGGAACGGTCGAGGGCAAAACACCGCTGCCTCCATGGACTGACCCGTCTCAGTATACCGACCGCTCTTTGACTAGCCGAGGATACAAAACCACGGCGGCAGCCTGTCAACAAGGCAGTGGGTACTATGTCGTGACAAGCACTACCTCCGGTAATGGAGAACGCGACGAAGAAGATGGACATCGAAAGTTTTTTCTTGTCAATTTTAATGATCTCTGAAATGACCTTCGGATAGACCTGAATAGGTTTGTGATTGAACTTTTGATATTTACTAGTACTGTGTTTGTTTGTACGTAAATAAATAAATATAAAATAGTAATAAAGACACGAGTAAAAAGGTAGAACAATATGGGAAAATATGTGTCTGCCTCAAATACGTGTGGAATATTTAACACAATACGCTGCTACAGCTTCAATGCGCGCACGTATTTTTAGAGTTGTTCACCTGTCAGTGTGTTTTCATATAAAATGTACTATATATTATGTGTACTATTATTCTTTCCACTCGAGTAAAATATGAAGAAAATAATGTTTAGTTTCAGCGAGTGATTTGGGTACCCGCTTTTTAATATGTAAAATAAAATATAATTTAATCATTAAGTAAAAAAAATATGTTTGTCTGTCCGTTCGTCGTGATTCTACAGAGTGTTGCAGTAAAGTAAAGAGCAACATACCCGAGAAGCACACCTCTGAAGAAACTCAGTCTGACTTTTTTTAACATGTCTTATAAACTAAGTACTTACTTATTACATTTTTTAAATTTATTAACCTGAAACAATTCATATCACTGCCAGGCAGCCTTGTCATTAAAGAAATCTTTTAAACAATAACACGCCTTTTGATACAATCTCAATATTATGACTTTTTTAAACTTATTTATTGATACAATTTGAAACCTCAAATTGTTTATTAGAATTAGTTATTTCATGGAGCTTATATTGGGGGATAGCTAGCTTATCCTTATTTATATTATGTATAATTACTAAATGCTTTATTAAATATCTATTCATATAACATACTTTCATAAGAAAACAAGAACTGATATATCGAGTGGCCGTTTCGTCAATCGACTGTCATGTACGTTTTACAAACTTACTTAACTTTTAACTATACTTCACTCAGGTAATTATAACAAACAATCTGACACTCTCAGAAGTGGAGATCCTTGCCTTACGATATGAACGATAGGTTCTGACATGAAAACCGATTAAGATATGTTTAATTGAGCATAGATATTCAAATAATGTATGACTATCAGCTGGGACGTAGGCGATAAGACATTTATCGGCTCCTTAGGCGATTACTTTAGATATACACATGTATGTGTATTGTACTTTAATGATAAGTATAAAAGCTGAAAATCGATTTCCACTTGCCATTCGTTTTGACTACCTATTGTGTTTACAATGATTTTACCGGTGGCCGTACTTCTACTGGTGACTACGTGTGCCCATGGCCGGCCAAGAGGAACGACAGTCCGAAATGATATCACAGTTCCGGAGAATTGCCCAGAGGGACAACGATGGATTAATGGCGCATGTCGCGATATTTGGCTTTTCGCGGAAGACGCTGCGACGAAAGCTCCACACACGTAAGTGCCGATCCTATGCTATCCCACAAACTTCTACTGTTCCGCTAGAGCTATCGTCCGAGGGCGATTCTTCATCCGTAACGTTAAATCTTATTCTTCGATAGCTCATAAAGATACGGATATTCAGAGAAGAAATCATTTTTGAATCATTATAATTTCACTCATTGAATCAAATTAAATTTATTGCAATGTAAGAACTACAGCAATTTTATTATAAACGTCGATAAAAAAACTACTAAACATTCCGAGGAAACATTGTTCGTACGCTTCAGATAATCATCAATGTAGATTGAGGAACATCTTTGGAGTCGAACAGGGTGTCCTAGATACTTCGGTTTCGTACTGAGCAACAGCACGAAAGTTGTCGGTCGGGAAACAATTTTATCCTAAATAATAAATTAATTCAGAAAACTAAGTGCTAGAATGTTCTATCAATGTTCATTAGCCGAAAAGCAATTTCTCCTCTTAACAGGATATATCATCGCGACACTATTTCTAAAAGCTAGTGACAGTTCCGATGAATTGTCCCCCTGGCCAACAATTAATTAATGGCGCTCGTTGGGATGTATTCCCATCTCGAGGAGTTACACCGGTGTACGATTTCGAATTGCTAAGCAATAAAATATGACTATCGCCGCCGCAATTGTTCATTATCTGTGCTTTATAGACACTTATGACGACGATTTAGAGTGGGTAACTGTGTAGGGAAAACCCTGTCATTACTTACTTAAGTAATAGACATACTTTTAATTTTACGTTCGTCGTTAGTAGAGAAAGATCCATTTCTGAGTCTGTTTTGGACTGATCTTGATACATTTTTTATAGATTGGACAGTGTACCACTGAACATCGTTACGGCTCCACCTAACTGCCCACCGGGTCAGCACCTCATTAATGGGGCTTGTCGTGACATATTCCGGACAAAGGAATTTCCACAATCGTAAGACAACGCTTTCATGAATCATATACAAATATAATAATACCCTCTCTGTGACGACATTAATTATACTTACTGTTAATATCGTCACAGTCGATATTTTACGCTCCGCTTCATAGTAAACATTTGCAACCAAATTAGTTGAGCTTTAAATTTGTCACGTCTAACTAATTTCAGAGTTACAAGAATTAGAATTGGCAACGAAAACTAATTTATAATCGACAATGGGAGCATAAAAGTTGTTCTCACATTAAAAAAGTATACTTTATACACCTACATTCGATTTATTGATCAGTTAAATAAGTTTTTATTATACCCTTAAACATTTTCGGTATATCGCTAATAGGTAAACGCCGAAATAGTTCTGGATTTGGTCCGAACACTTGTGCGAACCAAATCCCATATTTGAAATCTGTAAATCTGTAGTTTAAATATTCGTACCACTCGTTTTAGACGAAGGCCTATATGCCTCCAAAATAATAAATCGATTTTTAGAACTGTGGGAATCGTACCCACGACGCTGTGTTACTAAAAACTGCGTTTTCCTTTTGCAGGGCTCAAATTAAAAATGTAATAACTGTACCACCGAATTGTTTGCCCGGTCAAAAGCTTATCAATGGACAATGCCGAGACGTATGGTTTAGGTAAGATTTCTATCGGTCTGGTCTTGCGTGTAATTTAGTTCTACAAAACCTGTCTCCCCTGGCCTATCATGTTTTAATGTTTCGTAATTTTCAGTAATGCGACGCCGTCTTACGTTGCACCAAGGAACGACGGCCTCGGATCGCAAGTTGCGCCTCAAAATGGTAAAAACATAATTGTGGTTCCCCCTCAATGTCCCAAGGGCTACAGACCCGATGCCAATGGCGTATGTCGACCTATTTTGAACTAAATTGGGAATTTACTAAACGCTTTATGAAAAATACTGAAATCTTGTAATATTCATATTCATATCTGTATTGTTATTCTGCATAAGTAAAAAGCAAAAAAAATTGTTGTTTATTTTATTCTTTTCAGTTTTGTTCGGGAATCAGATGAACTAGTATAAAGACACAACTCCTCTATGTACGCCTGTGATTGAGGCAACTTTTAAAACCCGAAAGATAATAAACATACATTGATAAACTCTAACTTTTTCATTTGCATCTCGCCCTCACTTTAATATTTAGCTACCTATATAAAATTTACACGTTTATTTGTCTAGTGGCAACAATATCTTGGTCCTGAATGGTTCTTTTAATGATAATAGGCCAATTATTATTTATTATTGGTACAGATGTGTTCTGGATGTTAACTAGAATACAACTTGTAAGCAATATTACATACTCAGTATGTGGGATAGGGGTGCAAAGATACAAAAAAAGTGGCTCAATATTTATAATGGTATTTTGTAGAACCTTCAAAAAATTAAAAAAGTTTTCACTGTGAAGCCTTCGTTCGCGAGTCGGACTCGCACTTTGCGGTTTATTCATAGTTCCTACAAAGGTCTATCAATTGTTTATCTATCGATAAACAATTGAACAATATAATGATAGTTGTTATGAAATAAATGTGACGTAAAAATATTTAAAAATTATTAAAAAAAATTGATTGTAATTTTATTTTGCGTTTCTATTCTAATAAATTAGAAGGAGTTATTGTCTGACATCCTTATCTATTGTAATTCTTTTTTTTTTTCAAGTTACTTTGATAAAAACTACATATATAATTTTTAACATAACAACAATTATTATTCACTAGCTGTGTCAGCGTAGAACAATTATAGGTAGAACCAGGTAGTCCCTGAGATTAGCGCCTCAAACAAACTCTTCTCTGTATGTATCAGTATAGAATATAGATATCTAAACTTGTTATAACGACTAACCTATAGGTAATTAACTACTACAACTCAAATTGACTACCCTCATATTTACAACTTTAATCAATCTTATTCAAAACTCGCAATGTACCAGTAAGTATTTTAAGCTTTGTATATTCTTGTTAGTGATTGTATATATTATAATCTTCGAGAATAAATTCTGACAGATTGATCATAGATTGACACTTGACAGCTTAACCTTCATATTTCACAATTACACATCACGAAATTTGCAATTGACATTTAACGCAAGCACAAATTACAATTTTTAAGTTTGATCAAAACTTTTAAACATACAAATCGAACGCTTTTTAAATATTTTCAACCAGCAAGTTTTATTGTCAACAGAACATCAGTTTTAACGTGATCTATAAAGTAAGTAATGTGTACTTTCCACTATTCATCCTTAGTATGTATATATGTACTAACATAACAAATAAACTGTTGTACAACAGCTTCATATAATAGTTTGCGGATACTATTGTATAAAATGAAATTGGAAAGTGCGTAATCGACCCGCTCACGATGTTTTTACCGATACGATCACTTTGATACTAAAACGTCTACCATGTCTGAGGTAAAAGGAACAAAAGCTCTCGAGTTATGGTGCAAACGCCTCGTTAAAGATTGTCCCAATGTCCAAATAGAAAACATGACTACGTCCTGGAGGAATGGGATGGCATTCTGTGCGCTCGTACATCATTTTCGTCCTGACCTGATGTAAGTTTAGTTATCCCATCTTTACTGAGTATCAACTATCCTGTATGTACTAAGATGATATTATTCTTTACATGACCTTTATAAAAATTTCAGAGATATGTCTAAATTACAGCCCGATAATGTATATGAGAATAATCAGCTAGCTTATAGCATAGCTGAAAAGCATTTGGGTATACCTGCACTGCTAGATGCAGAAGATATGGTTGAAAATGATATTCCGGATAGATTATCTGTGTTAACTTATCTATCTCAATTTTATCAACGTCTTGGGCACAGTGGTGAGAAAGAATTATTCTTTTTTTTTGTTAATTAACAATAAGTAAAAGTAATTTCCATTTGTTTTCAGTGAATTCAAAGCTTGCCGAAAGCGATACTAAATCCTCTCCACTCTCAGAGCCAGCCGTTAGTAAAGCATATTTTTTTATACATTTCTACTATATATTTTGCATCAAAGTCACTTTACAACATTGCCTGCTTATATTGTTATGTGTGGCTCTTATTATGTGTTGTGATATTGTCACTTTATTTCTAAACCTTTTCTTTACTCTTATTCACCCTTGTAGACACAGATCAAATTTGGAAAAGTAGCTCTGGACAAATGTGCCACTTGTGGACTTCCCGTATATTTAGCACAACGACTCATTGTATCCCAGAAACTGTATCACAGACAATGTTTCCGTTGTTCCAAATGTTCCGGCCATTTGAACCCAAAAAACTACCACGTTATAAATAGTAATGACTTTCTTTGTGATTCTTGTAAAAATGAAAAGAATATTGTATCTAAATACCTTAACAATAACGATCAAATGGGAATGCTGGCATTTAGCGATACGTGTAGCACGAACCTTAATATGGTAAAGGAGGAGTTAACTTTTAAAAGGGACAAAACTAGGCCCAATTCAATTCTAGGTGAGAATTTTGCATACTTTTCTTTCCACTTGGATTGCATGCTTGTCTTTGCTAATGTGTGGTGGAATGATATTGTGTTATGAGTTGTGTCATTAAATTGGATTGGATTTATACGATTAGCACATTACAATTTATTGAATGTTGCATGTGCATATGAATGTACAATGTGTTATTGCACCAATTATTATTTTTCCGACAAGAACAGGTCCGTTGTTACAATCAAAGCGGTGACTTTCAATAAAAATAATAATGTGACTAATCAAAGAAAGGTTTCTTGTTTACTAAATGAAACATTATAAGTAAGTATCACTCGTTGTTTTGTCACAATATTTGTAAAATTTATAATTTCACTTATGACACTTTCTTTTGTTTAGTCCGTTCAATTAAATATTTGCAATAAACTTCTCAACATAGTTTTTAATATTCCAATTTGTTTCAGACAAAATAAATATGTTTGAAAATAATATAGATAAAGATAGCAGTATTGAAAGTAAAATAGGAAATATTAGTTTATCAGATAATATTAATGAAGTTAAATATAAGGATATAATAAGTGGTAATAATATTGACACCATAACTACCGGTGCCGTAAAAGACGAAGACTTATCACGCCATGAAAGCTTGATGATTGCAGTGGATGGCGGCGAAATAGAGAACGCAATCCTGACATTAGAAAGCGATAAACCGGAAAATAATTATAAAAGCTCTATAGAAAAGTTTAACTTTTTACAAACGCAGTTATCAGGAGATTCAAATATTCACAGTGATCCAAATGACGCGCAAAATGAAATTAGTAGTAACGCAACAAATGGTGAACAAAAGGATACATGTTCGAATATAATAGCATTAAGCAATATTACTGATGACAGCAGATTAGCGCAAACTGATTTAAAATTAGATAGTAGCTTCTTAATTGAGTCTATAAATGAAAATTCGCAAGATTTACATACTAATAAACGTATCGAAGGCGACGTGAGAATTAGCGTCCCTCCGAGGCGAAAGAAATCGAGTGTTACTAATAAAAAAGCTGACAACAATCTAGGCAGCCCGCTCATGAAACAAGATAAGGCTTATCCCGATCATTTGAACCCGTTCTCAGAGGATGAAGAGGAAGAGGTATCGTCCCCTTGCATTACCCACATTGATTTGATTTGATTGACCACGTTTACGTCCCACACTTGATTTCTTAAACCTGAAGAGTTTGCTGGTTGAACGCGCTTATTTCAGAAACTACTGGTTCGAATTAATATTTTTGTGTTGGTAAGGCGAGAATAATCAGCGTTAAAACCTACAATAAAAGGCCACCCGGTGAAACAGGACCTGTCGTGGCTCATTTGGCTTATTCAGTTAATATTTTTTGCAGGTTAAGACAGAAACGCGACAAAGAGTGAGCACCAATCCCTTCGGAAGTAGCGACGAAGAAGATGAGATTGTCCCCCATATCGAGTCTACAGCACAAAATCCAAATTTACATTCATCCACACCCGTGTATGTAGCTTTTTTTTTATTTGCACTATTGTGGCGTCGCTGACTCAGTAAAGTATGTTTCAGCTGTATATTGCGGAAGAAACTTTGCTATTTAACACTAGTAAAATATTTTTGTTCCCAGTCGGCGTCATATTACAGCATACAACCCCTTCTGGTCTGACGGTGAAGAACCATCTTCCGATGAAGAGTATGACAGTTTAAGGTAATTGACAAAGCTTTTTTCAGTTAAATTTTCACAAGTGACTCCAAATTACTTGCGTCTTCTAACATTTGCAGTAGCAGCATGCACAAATCTACATCGGCCAGCAATCCGCACCTCCCCTCCGATACTCCGCGGCGAAGAAAGCCTAAGGCGCCTCCGCCCCCGCTCATCAGTGTGGCTGAGCATTTGGATGTACCGTCCACTTCGATGGACGACGTGGCCAGCTTGTCTTCAGTTAGCTCTCACACCTCGACGGTGCATTCTGATCAGGTATCGAGTTGCACCAAATCGAAACCTTCAATAAGACTAAGAATGTATTTCAGTATTTGGAATTTTAATTTAATTGTTCTTCTTTCCATAATCTTAAAAAACATCATATAATTATGTCAGTTAGTACTTTTTAAACAGAATAAGTAGTCACGATCGAAAGAAAAGAGTTAGACGTAACAAATGATTGATTAGGTACCTAATTTGAGTTCTATCATTCATACCGTAAGTTCTAACAAAGAGAATTATTCTTAGAAATCGATGGGTAAAGTGACGCCGAAGCCGAAGAAAAAGCGGCCGGCGCCCACGCCGCCCGACTGCCAGTCCGTGGCTTCGGGGTGCGGCGCCTCCCTCGACGCCGGGGACGCCTCTTTGCGCAGTCTGGCTTCCGATGGTTTGAGATTTATAGTTCATTCCATATCTATTTGTGACTTTAATACCTAAATCGTAGCTTCGGTCCCAACACAAGCGACGCTAAGACGGGTTCAAGCTAATCCAATGAACTAAATAAATGTAGAGCCCTAAATCCCCAAATAAGCCGATAAACATTTATTACTACTGGTATAAAGCCTAATAGAAGATAAAGGATACCTAATGCTGCTCTAATCAAAGTGATAGTCATTCTGTGAAATAACAATTATGTCATGTTATATTATATCAGTATCGATGATCTAATAAGATAAAACTTCCTATATGGCGGACTCGCGCCCTTCTCGCGCGTATTATCACAGTAAGTATGTTTAACAAGGTATTTCTCTGAACTTTGCTATTAATATTATATATTGCACATTTATTTCATTTCTTATGGCATTTGTTAATAATGGCGGTAACAGAAATCCAAAATGTGAGCTTTGACTAAAGCACACAGACACGCAGCGAATTCTGATTATATATGGTTGCGATTTTCGCTTAAGATCGATATTCTTAAGGTCATGTAAACTATATAAATTGAATCCCAATCGATTTATGATGTAGATATTTTTATCTATGGCCTAAGACAGTGATTATGCACTATATAATTATGTGCATAAAAAAATACGCCACAGAGAAGTCGTTTGCATCCCCAACTTGGGCTTCTACCAACCATTACCGTAATTTTACAAGTAACGTAACGATATCTGCTGATGAATAGATTCTGCGCGAGCCGATGAAAATCATTTTACCTGGCTGAGTATGTTTCTAATTCAATAATTTTCTCTAGACCCGGCTTATTGTTTTTATATTTTAGCCTTTTAGTCCATTCGGCTACGTCAAGGAGACTTCCGTAAATAGTAATTTTGATGAATTTGTACATTATGTGTTTTACAGTGTTTTTCGAATTTGAATGTATGTACAGGTAGTCGTAGAAAAGGCCCGGCGCCCGGTCTACCTCTCCCGGAGCGGCGGGAGGTGAAGATGCAGATGACTCCTGAGGAGCTGCAGGTCCAGCTCGACTTACTAGAGACCCAACAGCTCGGTCTCGAGCGCCAGGGCGTGCTCATCGAGCAGATGATTCGCGACAAGTGTGAGGGTAAATTGCATCGCCGCACCCTTCCCTCACTTAGTGGGTTCCGTCCAATCTTAACCAACTAAGCGCAGCGACAGACCTAAATTTAACAAAACTATTAGTAATGCGACGTGATTATAAAGCTGAATAGTTTGTTTGTTACAGCGCCAATATGAGATTCCTCTTTAAATGATCTAAAATTTTCACGAAAGTATCTTTTAATTTTACCTCGCAAGAAAGACTGAACGACATCATCGGTAACAGCAATAATTTATAAAGCTGAGGAGTTAGTTTGCAAAAATAAATACGATACCCAAAATAACTCGACAATACTGACTTGAGCTAGTATCGGTGTTATGTACAAGTTATATACTTGTATATCGTATCCCCCACACTGTGTGTAATACCCATTCACTTTATCTTTTATTTAACTATCTCTAACTAATAACTTACCTTACTCATAATCTAAACTCCCCCATCACCCCCCCTTGACCCTTCCCCGATAGTAATATTTTAATTTCGCCATAACTTCAACCAAACTCCAATTTAATCTTTTAAATACCAATTTATTACATAACTTCTTAGTGATGAAATAATTTATTTTGATAAGGATTAATAGCATGAGTAAAACAAATGCGTTTAAATGTAGTCCAAAAAAAAAATTAAGATTTTTAAATAAAAAAATGGTTGTTGTCCTCACTCACGATAGGTATAGTGTGTCGCGGACTTTTTTGTAGATATTTATAAGATCTCCAATTAATTAGAACATTTTATGCTTCTATCTTTTATAGTTTAGGCACGTACGCAAAATAAGTAATTTTCTGGTTGATTTTTTACACTTTGTGTCCGAAAAACCCAAATATTTTAAGGAACCCTATTTTTTTCCAAAATAAAATTTTGCCTATGTTACTCGTGGAGAATGTAGCTTTCGAATGGTGAAAGAATTTTTAAAAACGGTCCAGTAGTTTTTGAGCCTATTCATTACAACCAAACAAACAAAGTTTTCCTCTTATATATTAGTGTAGATGAAAATGAATTATGGCCATTTTGTTTTTGTTTGATACACATATCAGATTTCCATAAGTTCGTAGAAGTCACATTCAGTGACTTATCTTGCGATTAAACGTATAAACCAATCTGTAATAATAAGTTGCACAGAAATGGAAAATCCCTTTTTTATGTATTTATTACAAAATAATAATTTCTACGTAAGAGTACGTTACAATTATATTTTTTATCGCAAGAGATACATCGTTGCCTCAATGGATTGGCTCGGCGTGCAATGAAAAATTATCGTTTGCTTAATTCCCAATGAGAACAATTGGACATCAAATTTGACCTCTCGGTCGTCGAGCGATCTGGGGCAAAGTTTGGGTGAATTGTGGTGCCTCTTAGCACCTCGAACACATACGTGGCCCATGCTAAGAGTCTCCTCGCTTCGAGCTTACGCATCCAACCATGGCCAGAGACTCGAGAACTTATTTTGAATACCTCTAACGTAACATTATACAGGCCTGACTGGGCTTCTTTTTTTATAAGTACATATGTCCTAATATTTTCAGTTAACGTTTGACGGAACCTACAAAAACTATTCGCACTCGCACTATTGTCAATTATATCTAGAAAAATCCTTTAACTTCGTAATAAAATACAAGCATATCAGAGCTGAAGACATTAAGACTACATAAATTACAGCTTTCGTTCGCTGCAACAAAATGAATAGACTGTATCTACTTTAAAAATTATATACCTATCGGATTTTATAGACGGAAGTTTTAAAATGTTTAGAAAAACTAGAAAATTATTGACAATCATGCTAGACCTGCAAACGTTATGCGTTTTTATTAGACGTCCGACCTAAGCGCGCTTCGCTTTCCCTGCAGAAAAAAAAGGTAATATATAAAAGTATGTAAATATTACAGGTGATGAAGGTGCCACAGCGCCACAAGAAGAGATAGAAGACTTAGTGATACAACTTTGTGAACTTGTCAACGAAAAGAATGATTTGTTTAGGAAACAAACTGAACTAATGTACACGTTAGTAGACTTTACATGCTATTTATAAATATGCTAAAATATAAAGCCGAAGAGTTAATTCGTTTGACCGCGCTAATCTCAAGAACTACTGGTTCCAATTGAAAAATTAATAAACATATTTGTCGATTACGATACGAGAACGGTTTAAGATACCCAAAATATGTATGAAAGAATGATTCCTCTTTGAATGATCTAAAAGAAAGTCAGCGACACTATATATCCACCATTTAAGATTACCTTGCTAAAACGACGGGTCGCTACCGATGTCGTGGCTTATATTCATAAAGAAAAGCGCGGACGTAGTCGCAGACGCAACCAATATGTTATAAACCCAACATGAATAATGAGACAACTATGTGATGTCTTTCCTACTTTGAATTTAGTTAACCTAATTCCAGCCGACGGCAGCAGAGGTTGGAACAGGAGCAGGCAGACATCGAACATGAAATTCGAATCATTCAGTCTCGTCCGGCCGTCAATAGAATAGACGCTGATAAAGTAAGTGTTTGCGTGGTTTATATATGACAGGATGACTCTTGCGGTGGTTCTCACGCGAGTCTGATCTACTTTGGCAGGCTCGAGAAGAACAATTCGTTTGCCGCCTGGTCGAGATTGTGCGCATGCGCGACGAGCTCGTCCAGCAGATCGACGCCGAGCGCCGTCGCGAGCGGCAGGAGGACCTCGCCATAGCTACCTCCATCGCTACCAAGAGAGGTATCGCCGATCGCCGTTACGGGTTTCTTCCGATGTCGCAATGAAATTTATACTTTTACGTTTCTTTTTTGCGTTTGTTCGCGAAAAACGTTTACTGGACACATCTTTACGACACATTATATTTAAGATATATTGATTTATTATTTTTCTCGGACATAAAATATTTTTCAGCACAAAGGAACAGCGACTCGAAATCAATCGACAGAAGTTACTCCCATTAAGAAGAACAAAGTCAAGGACAAAGTTAAGAAGCAACTTAAAAAGGCAAAGCACTCTCTCATCGCAAAGAAAAAGGACGAAGAGAGGAAGCCAAAATGACTCAACGCCGACCGCGAAGACTGAAACACATTCCAATTTACATACAAAAACGGTATAAAATGTTCTCATACTCTTGAAATTAGCGTTATTTATTAAAGGTTATTTAAATGCGACGGTGCCAGATGTTAGGTACACTTTCGTACAACTAATTTTTCCTCGTGTAAGTTGTATGTGTGCGGTTGAGACGAAGTTACCTAGAATTGATTATAGAATCTCAATATTCCCTAGTTTATTAAAATCGCCTTTCTTATCGCGCAACGTTTTGTAATGGACGCACCAATAGGAGACTGGATCAAAACTCAAAAGCATTTCGATGTTGATTTTTATCGATTATTGTATTGTGCACAAAGTATAATTCGAAAATAAATTACAGTTGACTCGTTTATAATGACATCGAAAGGAATTGACAAACACGTCATAATAAGCGGACGTCATACAATGCGTTTTGTAAAAAAAAACTTTTTTAATGTATGTATGTATTGTAATAGAGTAACATAGTAAGTACATATGTAAACATACAGATTAAATGAAAACAAAAATTGCACGTAATAAGTAAATTATACCCATACTAATGTATTTTTTAATGTAAGTAATCTATAATTTTTGTCTGCTTTTGTTTTTTCATTTTATTCTAGAAAGAGTCTCTGATATTATTGTGTATAGAAGCCATCGCTATGGTCAAATTATCATTTTTGACATTGCTATGAACAAATCGTGATAATAATTCTGCAACTTTTAATGCCTCTTCTACGGAAGGTAATGGTTCTACCTCGACTTCTTCTTCTAACCGAACGTCGTCGGGAATCAACGAACATTACCGAGTACCCGGAGGTGTATAATATAATCATGTCGGTCATTATAACCGGACATAATTTATTGAAAATGGGTCATAATAAGCGACATGTCATTATATCCGACTTTTTTATAACGGTTGGTCAATATAGGCGGAGTCATAATAAACGGATTCAACTGTATTTCATTTTATCGTCTGTGTTTAAGTGAAAATGGAAAGTTTCTTTTTTACGCAAATACGCGGGTCTTCGACCTGTTCGAACGTCACAATTGAGGTATGGCTCTCGATGTTTCGGCTTCGCGAATCAGTCTTCGCTTTTCCGAGAAACGCCCTCCGGACGATGCCGTCCACTCGTGGTGGCCAAACGCAACCGGCCATTTCAATGACGCCGGCCGAACAGCTCACAGACCCGCGTGTTTGCGAAATGGCGACAAGGGCCTCACGCTGTTTACCTTAATTAATATACACATAATTTATTTTACTAACAATATATCTTCTCTTGGCTATTATAATTTAAGTTTAGCAATATACATATAAGATTAAAATCAATCGAGTCTCGACTTTAATCATATTCCACAAAAACACTTTCCACACCGTGTCACAATGATTGTGTTATTGAAAGTAGAAATTGCTGTATTTGTCAATACTCAGTTTCTTGGTTTTATCGTTTATACCTATATTTAATCGGCTAACATAATGTTAAGGGTACACTTTAACACATATGTAATTGCACACATATATGACAATTAATAAAAAAAATATATTTAGAAATAACTGTTATTTCGAAATCAATTTTCCTAATAAACACTTAAACGAAATCATTATTTAAAAAAAGGTATACATTATCTATTTTGCATAATTGTTATCAATTTCTATTCGTAAATTTGACTTTGCTTTACTGAGACGGTCCCTCAAATCTTCTGCTTTTACATTCACTTCATGTTTCTTCTTTATCATTTCTCTTAAATCATTGTGTTCACTTGCCAGCCCGGGCTTGTCTAACCTCGACCAAACACTTGTTGTTCTCAAATTGTTTTCAACTTTTTGCACCTTACTCCTTGTGTTGTAATTATTGTCATCGGAATAATTGGATTCATCATCACTATCACTGAGCGGCTTGTCTTCATTGAGCACCTTATTTCCTAGACGTGATAGTATTCCTTTGCTACTATTCTGATGGTTATTTTGTTTTCTAGGATCAGAAAAAACTTTCGATGAACACTGTGTTCTACTTGGGTTCTTAGAATTGATAAACTCGATTGATAAATGTGTGTATTGTTCCTTATCACTAATGTTATTAGACTCGGCGGACACCTTTTTTTTAATTCTTGATTCCTCATCATCAGCTCTCATTCTCATTCTAGGGATTTTCGATTTTTTATTCCATTCCGAATCTGAATCACTAGATTCATCTGCCTTTTGCATTTGACTTCTCTTCCCAAGTCTCAAAGCGAGATTACTTTTTTTGGGTTTTATAACATTTCTAGGTCCCAATTTATTATCATTAGAACCTTCAAAAGCTGGTATTTTGCTTTGAAATATTTCTTGATGGTCATACACACCCCAAGACATGCATAAATCACCCCAAGGATTTTTATCATTTAATTCTAAAATTTTCTTCTCTAAGTGCATTTTTTTATCCCTTGACAATTTCTTATCAGCATTAGTTGCAAATCTCATTAAAATTACATCTTTTTTAGTATGAGGCATAGCTTCCCTCCAATGGTAAGATGACTTTTCAGACAACATTTTTTTTAAATTGCCATCATCAATTTCTTGAGTGTGAACAAGTAAAGCAAGAGCTGCAGCTATATGATCTTGACACACTACATTACCTGGAAAATAAGATACTTGAATAATGGGACAGTAGCAAAAATCACAAATTTAATTACAACAATTTAAAGCTTCAAATGTTCAGAGTGAAACTAATAGAATTCAAAAAGTTGTTTTCATTAATATTCATTGTTTTTTTTTAATATAGGACTGTTAACTAGACGCATTAGCTTGACCTTTATCAGAAATATTAGTGTCAGAATTATTACATTTTAGTATGTACATACATAGAAATTACTCACAAGAAGTTGCATCAACCCATTCCAATGATACTGGTTTATATTCTTCTAAATATTCAAAAACATCTTTTGTATTTAAGCCATCAATACCCGTTAAATGTATTGTATCGAGTCTGAAATGTCTCTCATTTCCTTCTATGCCTATATTAGCATATAATTCATCGATTTGTTGTTGAGTGACTATTCTGTTACCACTTAAATTCAGTCCAAAGCGCTTAGCTCGTTCTTCAAGTTTACTAGCGTCTACTTTGTTTACCTTTTTCACAATAGGTCCACTTTTATCCGCTTTAAATAGCTAAAAAGGAAAAGAACTTAAAAATTAAAATACTTAAAAGAAGAAGTATACGTAATCAATTCCTAGATATAAAAAAATCTAAATACTGTCTATAGTTTAAGTAAAATAAAATTATAATAACATTTAAATAAAAAATTCTTACAACTGTGCAATCATCGGATAAAACCAAAGGTTTTATATCTTGTATTTGTTCTTCTTCCACGTCCATTTCATTTTCATCATGTATTTCACCATCTTCTCTATCAAAATCCATCGCAATTTAATTTAAATTTCGCTGCAAATGTATAGTTACTAATTGATAATAATTAATTTAAGATACTAACAATTAGAAACAAGTAACAAATTAGTATGGCATAGTTAAATCTTAAAAGGTTTAACCAGGCTTAACTTGAAAACATGGCTAGTGTCACAGACCAAGGTAAATTATGTCTACTAACACAGGTAAAAAATTTAACCAAAAATGTAGTACAGAATGTTGTAAATATGTATATTGCTTTCAATAACTTTAAAAGTTTTATAATGTTAAGTAAAATGCGTGAAAATGCATTTAACAAATATGTAATGCATTATAATAGAGTTTAGGGGCGTCACTCTAAGCAATTGTAATATCTTAGGTAAAGTAAGTCTGTACTGTACGTATCTGATAACAAAAAGTAATCACTAGGAACCTTAATCTTCAAAAGAAACAAATCAGATTTCCAAAATATGTCGGCTAACAAGTCTATTAAGTAAATCAAAACCAATAGTTATATTATTATTACACCTTGTTGGTTCTTCCCATAAACACAGAATCCATTTATAATGGGAAAGCCATCAAAATAAGAAGTCTTTTTTTACGGAAAGCACTAGAAACAAATTACAAAATAATCTGTAGTCGCTTCAATTCTATTAAAGTGTACCATAGAGTACTGTAGTGCTTATAAAATTACTCAAATGACAAATCAAACTAAAATACTCTCGATTGCTCTCAATACTTAACTCAATTCAGTTAATATTTTAAAATATATATATACGTTAATAGTTTTATGTTGGAAATTAGGAATCTTCTGAAACTCGCTATTGTTTCTGAATATGCCATTTTTATTCCAGTGTTGCATATTCTAATCGAAAATTGTATGCTTGGTTACTACACGAACCACTACGCGACTCTGCTTCACATTTTATTGGTTTTTCTTACTTAGGTTGGCGTGTCCATCATTACAATTATGACATCGTATATCGATATGAGCTTAGATGATATCATTAAAAAAAAGAAACGAAGCAGTCCTAGGTAAGTTTTTCTTAAAGCCTATTTAATTTTCAGCTTTTAAACAACAATAGTTTATAACTCGATGCTATCTATGTCTATGATAGGAAATCCGTCAAACCTAAAGTTCCAAATCCTTTACAAAGTAAAACTATAGATGCAAGAAATAAAATAGTTTCTAAGAAGAGGACTCAAATAAGAGATGCTCGGGAAAAGTTAATAGACATAGCACAGCAAAAAGATGCAAGATTAAGATTGGAAGAACTGAGGGCCAAGAAAGTTAGTATCATAATTTAGGTTTACTGTCGAGGTTTAATAATAAACTTTAAAAAATCCTTTTGTATACAGGGTAATTTCACAGGACCTAATGTACATAAGGCAATAAACAATAGAAAAACACTTGAACCATTCACCAATAAAAGAGATAGAGGTAAAATTGTAATAGAGTTTTGAAATATTGACATATATTCAGTTGTTCTATTGTAATTTATTACTCATTTAAAAAGTTCTAGTTTTTGCAGACCCATCCAGGCAGGTTGTTTCTAAGCCATTTGAAAACAGAACAACCAATGCGGAACGTCGTCATAACAACAACAATATATTTATGGAAGAGCGATCTTTAGCACCAAAAGCGTATTGTATGTGAGGAATAACTTGCTTTTCTAGATGTTGTATACACAAACAATTTATTGCAAGTATTTATTTTTCAGTAAAATCACCAATTAAACCTATTATGCGAACAATTGATAATGATCTTGAAATCATAGATGATCCAATGGGAGAAGAGTACATACCTGCTGCTATGGCATTAGATAGTCGCAAAGCTAGTTTACAGTTAAAAATTACTACTCATGCCAATAATAATTATCAAAGGTTAGTTTAAAACAACACTACATTTAAGATAGACTTTTGTATGCCTGTAATTATTTCGTTGAGTTTTATTTTACTGTCCAATTTGGAATTATATAAAATGATATGTACAGAACTGCAATAAGAGAAAGGGAGAAAAGTCCACCGCACCCACCATCCATACTTAAGAAAAGACCAATAGCTGCTTTAAGATTGGATAAAAAAAAGACTGATATTGAAAAACCTACTCTCGACTTTCGTGTCATTGTCAGCAATTTATGCACCACGGTTACAGGCGGGGATATTAAGGTGAGTTTTTTTTGTATTCCTTTGTTTTTATTAACCTAACCTATTTTTGTATAAATAAAACCTGTCTCAGGAATTATTTGGAGACGTCGGTGGCATGGTAGAATCCCGTTTAGTCAGACCAGGTACAGCTGAAGTTATTTACAAGACTGTAGAAGATGCCCAAAGAGCTGTGGAATTATACCACAATAGACAACTAGACGGACAGCCAATGAATTGCCTACTCGTAACTCCACGTACTACAAATAACTTGGTCAAGTATGTTTTGCAGTATTAACAAAATCATTTGTTGTACCTATGGGACAAATATTTATTCTCCAATGCTTTGTTTGTTACAGAAGTGGTTCTAAAGCAACTTTCGTGAGCAGCAACTCCAATGTAGAGCCGGATATATCAACATTTCATAAAGTGCTCTTCAGTCATTTTTAAACTATTAAAATAAACCAAGTACTATGAAACTGATTCTTTTCTCACAATGTTTGGCAATTAGTATATAAGGAGTTCAAATAAAAAGTAAGTAATCAGATTATGTTGTTGATTAATTTCCATTGAAAAAAAACTGACCTAACTGGCTGCATTCTCTATTGGTTTGTAGCAATATTTTTCCTTTTCTGCTTCACACTTATAAGATACCAAAACATCTTATAAGTAGAAAACGCGCATTTTAGCTGCCTACATTGAATATCCAGATCAATCAAATCGATTTTTAATTTATAAATTTTATTATTAAACATACGGTTGTTAAAATAAACAAGTGAAATAATTTAAGCATTTTCCCGTATCTTGACGGATGGATGGAGATTGAATGTTCACGTGCACGGCACCTATACCACCGTAATGAAACGTCCAAAATCTTAATAAGGTTGTCTGCACCTCACACCTCGCGGAGGCGAAGATTTTCGACGTCTTTTCGACCTTATGGAATCAGAATGACTTCTACGATGATATTTAACATTCTAGCAACAAAATTATTATTACCTATGGATATGGATTATTACCTGTACATAGCTAGGTTGCAACTTATGTTCTTAATTGTTATTTACAGAATACGGTATTATTAATAATAATACCTCCTACTACTACCTACTCTCAAAATGATCCCATAACATAATAAATTATTATTATTTAAATCATCATTTTGGTCGAGCTTTTGTATAAGTAATGGCTGGCAACACTTTTTATATATATATAAATATAGCATTGAACCTGCTTATAACGACCACCTAGAAAATGAACCTATTTTTACAAGCCGACGGCACAGTTTTTTAAAAATATACAGTTATTATGCTCTGTAGACACAAGTCGAGACAAAAAATCTCGAAAGGAATGCGAAAATGCAGAACATGAAAATAGTACAAGTTGCCAACTATAAGCTATCAAATGCAAGACGTCTGTGGTCTGTCCGTTGTTATTGCTAGATTAAGGTAAATGTTTCAAAGTAATGGCATCAATATATCCAAAATTAAAACAAATAAGTAAAAAAATGTCTTTATCATTTTCTATACATTTTAAAAGTGGTTTTGACCGCGTCTGGGAAATATCATATTTTTAGACGAGAATCAAATTTTCTGAAATCGAATTTCCGTCACTACAAGCTGTCACAGACAGTGTACAGATAAAAGTTACAAACTCTAATTACCGCATGCTTGAAGCCAAAATAGATAGACATACTTTAATTACTAGATGTAATATGTTTATATTATAAGTATTTACTCAATCTTAAAAATATAAAATCATTACTGAGTATGTTTTATAGCAGTTATTTTTCTTCATACAAAAATAAGTGCTATTTCATATAATATATATAATTTTATATACATGTATTTTGTGGGAATTTAGAAGATATTGAGGCATGTGCTCTAGCAACATTGATTTCCGCCCGCCATATTAGCATCGCGCCACCAAGCTTCAGTTGTTGGCGGTATTGGCGCATTTACTAAAGATATTGTAACACAAATCATATCTCTTATGCTATGTACAGAAGTTTAACTAAGTTCATTATTTGCTAGATATTTTGATAACATGGGTGATCGTGAGTATAGTTTTCTTCGCCTATCTAAAAGTATTTAGTTCAGTGTAAAACGTGGTTATTGCTATTTCAGCGTACGCGTCATCGGATTACAGCGGTTCCTCATACGGTGGTCAGTACTCCATGCCACCCCCTTCATTAGGCTCTGGGGATAATACTTATAGTGCGAATCAACAGCAATCTGGTAATTACAATCAAAGTAGCTATGGCGGTCAAAATGCCAATCAACCTTGGAGTCAGCAGAGCTCTGGCGGAGGTTTGTGACCACTACATTTTGTTCTTATTGCAAAATTATATGTGATCTTCATAAAGAAATATATCTTATAGCAGGCGGTGGAGGCTACGGAGGACAGGAAAACTATGGACAGGCTTTTGCATCTAATTATAACAACAGCGGCGGTTTCGATCGCAATGGTAGTAACAACTTCAACGTGAGTAGTGGAGGTGATCGTGGTGGAAATTTTGGAAATAATGACCGTGGAAGTGGTAATTATGGCGGTGACCGCGGAAGTGGAGGATATAGTGGCGGAGACCGTAGTGGCGGATCTAACTATGGTGGAGGTGACCGTGGAAGTGGCTACTCTAGTGGTGGTGACAGAGGAGGTTACGGAGGCACTGACAGACCAAGTTACAATAGAGACGGGGGAAATAGGGATGGCTTTGGGTGAGTTATACTTTGATATTGTTTTTACAATAACAATCTTCTTAACCAATGGTTTCAAAACATCAATTCTGGTTGAAAATTAGAGATGTACTTTTAAAAATATCTTAATTTGTTTCAACAAAGATGTGTTGTATTGTAATAAAAAAAAATCTCTTTTCACAAGGAAGGTGGTGTGGCACATGTTGCTAAACAATAAGTTAAATATTTTTGCCCTACTTACGTTATTTCTCATTCAAATTAGTAGTCTTGTCCGTGATTTACTAAAAATGTCCTGACTTTTCATCAATATGGCTTTATTGTAGATATTGGATTGTATCTGTTAGATCATGGAACACTTTAATAACTCTGCCTCTTTGGCACACAATGTGTGTGTGTTATGTTTTTTATTACCAGAAAGTTGAAATTTTTTTCATGATGAAATTCAAGCTTCAACATAGTTAATCTGGACAAAATATTTCAGTATATACAACCTCAGTGTGAATAAAGTTGAAATAATGCTTCTAAACATGTAATGTGTGAACCATTTTATACTCTATTTATGTTTCAACAAATACTACCTATTCATCGCTCTAGTTGTGTAGGCAAATTCTGTAGTTCAAACAAATTCTGTATAATGCAAAGAGCATGTGTCAGGTGTAAATGTAGATGTTAAATATGCAGTGTTGCATATCAACAAATGATCCTAGGTCTACACAGGGTGCTGTGATCCAGTTATTCTGATGTCTTACACCATAGTCACTCAAATGAGTTCAATTTTTCATTTGTTTTGTTTCATTGGAATATTATATATAGCATGGTTTACTCTCGTGATCTGACTGCTAAAGAAATGAAAAATTGGCTCTGAATCATTCATATCTTTCAGATAAAACATTGTTTAAAATGTAAGTGTTACATTTTTGAAAAAGTGTTTCTCATGTCGTATCTTGTTACGATTTCGCCTTCAGTTCTGCTGGTCTTCTGACACTTTTTTACAATACAGGCTATTGAAACAGAACACTTTTTCAAATGACAATGCATATATGAGAACTATAAAAACTTATTGCCAACCAAACTATTCTAAGATGTTCAAGGTGTATATGGTAAAGAAAAGGACCCACGTATCGGAATGAGGTCACTTACTAGGACCTTAGGTGTCGTTCGCCGTGCTTCATACAATGCGCCCCCAACCTGCCAGTGTGAACTAAATGGTGTTTTATTGTTATAGTGGCGGCGGCAGGGGGGGTGGTTTTAACAAAGGTAAAGCTCCTCGTCAATAACGAGTGGTGCTGTTGTTATATTTTTAATCGTTTATGCTCAAGGGCTGCCAAATGTTTATTCCTTAGGTCCTTATTTGTACATTTTACGACGATCGAGTTGCGAACAAATTGGTTTAAGCGCCTTCAAATTATAGAACTTGTAGCGTCAAGGTAGCCAATTTCCATGCACCGCATTCCGTTTAATAGACTTAGTAAAAGGTGTAGTTAGATTCTTAATATACGACACGGTGGCAACATGAATAATAACTCTTTCCCTAAAGAAGAATTACCCAACTCCAAATCTACTTGTCAAGGGATTCGTCTTCAGATATTTTAGGCTCAAGGTGTAACATATATTTTATTACAGGAGTAGGTTCGTTTAAAGATGTTATTCAATGTTTAACTCCTTACGAATTATTACAATTAGAAAAATTCACTAAAAGTTAAACTATTAACTTTGCATTACTGCAACATACGTTTTAAATTTAAACGAATTAACTAGTCGATGACATGGAAGACGAAAGTTAATATTTTAACAGTACATATGCACGGAGTAACAATGAGAAGAAGTAAAAAAAATGAGATTGTATTTTTATTCCACTCCATTGGTGAAACATAAGTAACACTGTTAACGTGGTGGCAACCGATATGAAGTCGTGGTTGTCGGAGCCCTTGTACCTAGTCCATCGAGGGATGAAGCGCGTATTTTTGGCAGCCCTGTCTTCCACTATCATAATAACGCTTATAGGCGCATTTTATAGTGTTTGTGTTACGGTTATTATATATGGTTATTTTTGTACGTCTTATTGGTATTTCTACAGAAATTGTAAATTTAAAACAATTAAATTGGTAATTTAAGACCCAGTGTTATTGCCTTCATTCAAAAGTTGAGAAAAACCACGATAAGCTGACATTTTGAGAATACGTAGTTAACCTAGACTTACTCGTAGGAGGCGGCGGTGGCTACGGTGGCGACAGGGGGGGCAGTGGTGATATGGTTACGCAGGAGGACACAGTCTTCATACAGGGCATGAACCCTTCTACTACTGAAGACGAACTGTGTCAGCATTTTGGCGCAATCGGCATAATAAAGGTGTGTGATTATTTTATTCAAATTCAAAACGTTTATTGCCATAAAATATATTTACAAATTTATAACTAAATGTGTACATAAAAATAATAATAATATAGTAATAAATTTATAAGAGATGGCAATCGGTACCAGTCTCAGCTATGCTGCTGAATGCTTGTCACACTCAGCAGCGCTGGTTTTCAGACTGGCCCGCGCATAGAAGTTAAGGAGTGATTTTTAGTAAAGTGGTATAAAATAACAGTATCAAACATATACATAATAGAACAACAATAATAACCATTAATTATTGCACATCTGCTTTCCAAGGAGGTCCAGTTTAACATGCCGCTTGAACGTCGTAAAGGTCATCTCCTTAGAACTAGCTCTAAGAGGTGGAGGCAGATCGTTCCATATTTTTGAAGCGGCATATTTGAATCCTCCTTGGAAGTTAGATGTCCTATGCTTGGGGATGAGTAAAAGATTCTGCGTCCTGCTCCTTGTGTTAAGAGTGTGCGAAGTTTCGGCCCATTCTAACTTATCGTAGAGATAGCGGGGTTTCTCTCTGGATACCAGATTAAAGATAAGCCCCGCTAAATGCATCTCTCGCCTTCCATTCATTTTTAGCAGTTTGTGTTTGTTGAGATAGGGCTCGTCTAGGTATCCCAAAGCAAAACCGGGCACATGCGTTTTGCACTCTCTGTATCGCACGTTCCGTCTTTGCGAACAATCGAGGCCCGTATACGGTGTCGCAGAAATTAAAAGTTGAGAGGATTAGGGACTCCGCCAATGTTAGCCTGACTTCCTCCGTTAAACACTCTCTAATTTTGTATAACGCCTTGAGTTTATAGAAGGCGTTTCGGACTAGATGGCTAATGTGGTTCTCGAATCTCAACTGCTCGTCTACCAGGCCTCCGAGGTGTCTGCATACTTTCACTTGAGAAACTGAAGCGTTGTCAAGGCTTATGGTAAATTGTAGGTTTTTTATTAATTGGCATTGTTTCTTTGTGCCCAAAACCATGTATTTAGATTTTGCCGGATTTAATACCAACGCATTTTTGTTTGCCCATGATAGTATAGCGCCCAAATCTTCTTTTATTTGTATTATAGTTTTTTGTGGAGAGTTTGGGTCGATTGCGTAGTATATTTGTGTGTCATCGGCATACAAGTGGATTTTCCCATGCTTAATGTATTGGAGTAAATCGCTAGTGTAAATGTCAAATAGGGCGGGACTTAATACTGAGCCTTGGGGACAGCCACGACCAACAGGTTTGACCTCCGATCGAAAACACTCCATCTTTGCGTCAAAGGCGGCTAATTGTCTTCTATTGGTCAGGAATGACTTGAACCAACTGCAGGCGTCCTGATCCACACCGTAGTATGATAATTTGGCTAAGAGGAGATCAAAATTGATGCTGTCAAAAGCCCGCGTGAAGTCTAGCAGCACAAGAATTGATCCTTTGCCATTGTCGCTGTTAGATATAATGTCATCAGCGACATGTGCCATTGCAGTAGCCGCACTGTACCCAGCCCGAAATCCTGATTGCACGTCCGGTAGGATCCTCTCTTTCTCCATATATTCGGTGAGCTGCCCAGAAACGACTCGCTCTATGATTTTGGATAATATGGGAAGAATACTTATCGCCCGAAGATCTGTATATTCTTTTACGTCTGTTTTCTTAGGTAGAGGTTTGATTTTGGCCAGTTTCCATGCGTCAGGAAATGTTTGGTTTGCAATGGATATGTTCACCATTCTGGTAATTATGGGAAGTGTGACCGATAAAGTCATTTTTATCATATTGATTGTTATTTCATCGTATCCTGCAGCATTAGTATGTATGCGTTATTGTCTTTTTGATGCCTCTGAAGAAGTTCGGCTTATTCATGCTCGTTACCTTTTTAGATGGATAAGAAGACTCAGCGACCTAAAGTGTGGATGTATAAAGACAAAGCCACAGGTCAACCGAAAGGAGAAGCGACGGTGACATACGAAGACTCGAATGCTGCCTCGTCCGCCATTCAATGGTTCGACGGAAAGGACTTTAACGGATCCACTATTAAAGTTTCTCTAGCTCAAAGACAGAACACGTGGGGAGGTGGAAAAGGCGGCGGCGGTGGATTTCGAGGAGGTAGAGGCGGGGGCTCCGGTCCGCCGCGTGGCGGTCGCGGGGGAGGAGGTGGCGGTAGCGGACCGCCCTCGGGCAATCGCGAAGGGGACTGGCGATGCCCAAACCCCACTTGTGGAAACACTAACTTCTCGTGGAGGAAATCGTGTAATAGGTGTAATGAAGAGAAACCTGGCGGTGGCGGAGGCGTCGGAGGTCCGCCATCTGGTGGCGGCGGCCGGGGGGGCGGGCCACCTCGCGGTGGGCGCGGAGGTGGTCGAGGCGGTGGGAGTCGCGGAGGCGGCGGTGGGGGCGGATGGGGCGGACGACCTGACCGCGGAGGTGATCGCTCAGGCGACAGACGCGGCGGCGGCGATCGCGGCTCCAGTGGCGGCGCCATGAGAGGCGATGGCGGGTGCGTATTGCACGTCTTATACTCGCCACCCAATAGTATTACATTTAATAATAAGACCCTTGCAGACGGAATTTAGATATTTGTACCCACTCAGTTAATTGACATTCCGGAATCCAGGTTATAAATTTATTTTTATACCTTGTAGGTTATGAGTCATAAATTGGACGAGTGTTTCTTTTTTTTTATCGCACCATAATTTTTTAATCTGTACATGTTCAGGTAAATCAAGGTTTCTTGTAATTCATTGAAATGGCATGTTCTCAAAAGATCAACCAGTTAGTTTTAAAACACATAGGTGCATACCAACATAATTTTTTTTTGTTTCAGTGGGAGAGACAGACAACGGCCTTATTAAGCATAAATAGCTTTTGACTGATTTAAACTAGGTTATTATTGGTTCAACTTACACAATACTGTGTAAAATTATGAAATATTTAGCAAATTACTGTTCTTTGGATTTTTGCTAGACAACTTTAGCACTGTAGGATTAAGTTTTAATTACATTATTGGTTATCACTAGCCTATACAGTTTACACAATGTGGATATTTAACTTATAAACTATTCTTTTTTGTTGAATTTTATCATAAGACATTCTGATGCATGGGATTTTGTATGAGTAAAACAATATTGTCTAATGTCAATGTTACAAATAGCCCTTCCTTAATTAATAATAATTAGTAGTTAACTCTTAAGACTGCGCCTTTTTAGGTGCAAATTTTTTTTTCCCTACAATGTTTTGATGTACACAATGACGACCTAATGAATAAATCTCTACCACTGACAAATGTTTTAATGTTTCTGATGGCCAATATAAAACAAAGCTGGAATTTGTGACATTTATTTACAACTCAAAATACTATTCAGTAATTTATGCTGGACCTTCTTTGGTTTTGATGTACGCGTTTATCGATTTCAAACCATACAATAATTATATGCCCCTAATTAAGCGGAAGTACTTCATTGCCTCTGGAAGTTGAGTATCTTGATGAGCACGAGGCCGACGATGGTCGCGGCTGCGACGCCGATGCCGGCTTTCCACCAACAAGTATTGTCTCCGGCAAAACTCGCGAAGTGCTTCAAATGTCTGTAAGCAAACAATATATAGCTGATATAACACCTGAAAGTAATCTACTCCCGACCGACCGCCTTTAGGGCTCATCACTCATCACTGCATTGTGGTTCATACCAAATTGATGAACATTAAAGGTCACCTGAATTTAATAGCGTTTCATATCCAGGAGCCCTCGCGTTTTGTAAATGAGCCACGATGGGTCCTTCTCTAATTAACTAGCTACTGATAATGAATAAGCTGTAAACTCGTCTCAATATGAACCAACACAATTTTATATTTAATGGCCAGAATTCCAGAGGAAGTCCATCATATTTTAGAAAAATTATAAATTGACCTTTTGATTGTTAGCCGCACATTACTACTATTTAGCACATAGGTTTGGCATTTTAGATTTTTTATTAATTTTAGGATGAAAATATGGTTTTCACTAAGTGAATTTGAGGTAGTTCAGCAGTTCAATATATAATCTAGTGTCTCAGTGTTTTTAGTGTATATCGATGGAAATTTTGTGAGAAAATCATAAACTATTTAATGTAAATAGTTTTCTAAAACGGCCAAGTTAGAAAAAATCCACTGTACTTCTTTTCTTCTCTTATCTTTCTCTTGACAGCGCGGTATCTACTCAAAGCGCGCGGTCAATTATTATTAATCTATGATAGGAGTACGTTTTATTTATGGCGGGCAGAGCAACCTTTATTCCATGCCATAAAATATTAAAAAAAAAAAACCTTTATTTATCTTATCAAAATGGTTGTCAACAGCCGCATCGGACATCAAAATTTTACATTTTTAGGATATAAATTAAAATACTTAACATGTTAAGTACTAAAAAATTAAAAACGTCAAATTTACATTAAGATAGAAGCGAGGAGGGTGCAATTGCAAAAACAAAAGAATAATACTATTGAAATGTGGAGAATGAAACTTAATTGATTTCGCCTGTTATTATGGATAATTCAAGAACCAAATAATTAAAGGCAAAGACAAAAAAAATAACTACAAGCACTATAAACATTGTTACGTTTTAAAAGTCTTACCTGCGTTTGCTGAATAAAATCCAAGCAGCTTGAAATTGACTGGTCAAGAATTGAACAAAAATAGTACCAATGTAAAGATAATGTTTCGTTAAGAGCGTAGGAGAAGGTGAATTTACGTCTTTAGAATTTAAATATTAACTGTTATGTAAGTCAATCAGATTAAAGGATCAATTGTATTTAAATAAAATGAGGGGTGAGACAATGTCAATGGGTTAGAAATACTTACGGAAATGCAGCCATCGTAGCTAGTTTGACGAGGACGTCGTGTTTATTCTCTTTAATATTAAATATTTGCGGCGGTAACAGCTGATATTTGCTACAAAACACTTCCGGCTGCAGAATGTATTCCTGTCTGGTCACCATCCCATCACCCTTAGTTCCGACTATAAGTACGGGGATGTGGCTTTCCGCAAAGTATTTCTGAAATATAAAAAAAACTGCGACTTAATTGCGTCGTCTCGTTTACCGACGACATCGAGAGGAATAACGTTACTCGTTAGCTATATTGACGTCTTTCACGACGACAACGAGTTGCCGAGATTTTGATAATATAAATAATTATAAACTTGTGATGATAACTTTATATAATTAAATTTATCTTTTAGAAACAAAAGATACATATCGGAGACTTTTATTTGTATGAATATAATATGTTACAACCATGGTAAACAAATAGGTATTATACATAGAAGAGCCTATCCCACAATTTTTAAGCATTTTAAGGTTATGGCATATTTAAACTTGAGTGTTAGCTGAGCAATGATGTAGGGTAGGATTAGGATTTTACAATTAGCCATATCTACCCTCATTACCCTCTTTGCAGATGTTATATAAACTTGCTTAACTAGCAACTAGTGTGATTAATTCTGTATCAATTATCACTTTATCTAAAATGAGTAGAAAAATCATATTTTTGGCTGTATCCTTCAAAAAAAGGGGCACATTACAGCACAACTGTTCAATATGCTACTTTGCATCAAATCATGTGTATTGAAATATTTTTGTATTTATCTACAGCATAAATTAGAACAAAAGGAACATTGTAGATTTTTCTCAAAAAACAGTGCTAATTATGTAGACATGATAATTAATATATATAATTTGGTTCTCGTAGGTTTTCATGTTTAGATAATAATTTGTAGCACTTCTTTCACTTTTGTGCCACACCGTGTGAAGAGCAGCAACACTTACAATGTATATCCTCGCGATGTACTCAAAAGACCTGGCGACGGTGACGTCGTAAACGAGGCACGCAACATCGCAGTTGACCTCGTGTGGCTGAAGTGGGTCCGAGACGCGCGTGATGCCGATTTCCCGCAGCACCAAGTACTTCTCCTGGCCGTACACCAGCACGGTGCTGATGCAGCTGTTGTTCTCGCTCGGATAACCGTCGCCTCGCTCATTTGAATGTGCTTTTATCTTCTGGAAATTGAAGTTTCATTAGTAGTATCGTATTTTGTAAAGATCGCCGTGGAAAATAAAAAGTTTTCTTTAGGAATAAACATATTACCTTATGAGCTATTCCTAAAAAACTCCGACATATTGACGTTTTCCCGCAACTTCTGGGGCCAATTATGTGACACTGGTACACGTTTCGACTCGATTGCTTTTTAGCAATGTCGATCTTTTTCTCACGCGTAACTGTAACCGGAGAAAGCGATCAATGGGTATTTTCTCACACTGAACACAAAAACACAAGGCGAGGAACGATTAAATAGAAACTCACTGTGAAAAGCCGACTTCTGCGTGTCATTTTCAAGAAAATTGTATCCTAAGTAGGCCAAGTAAGCGCTCGTACTTTGTAAGTCGAAGAGAGTCATAAGGGTCCAACGACACATCCAGCCTTGCAAAGTTAAATAGCCCTAAACAAGGAAAATAGTTATTCGACCTATACAGCAATAAATAATAGCTATTTCCGAAGTCACGACTAACCTTCTCATTGGTGGGTACTGTGTACCTTAAATTGTGCCAAGGGATCCGAGGGCAACTGGAGAATACATTCTTTAACTCTGTAGGATTTAACATTCCATCTTTGTCTCTGTCGTACTTCTCGAAAATTTGCGCCAGAAATTGCTGACCTTTGTATGAAAGTTCCGATGTACAACTGGGAGGCACTTTGATGCTTTAACAAAAAATATTGGCAAGATTGTAAAAACCATCTTGGAAACCGGACGGTGCGAACGGTACAACCCATTCTTCAATATATGTAATGTGCTCACAGTACCCGAAATTTATAACTATTAATAAATATTGATTATTTATTTATTTTCTATGGGGGACACCCATAGCAGGCCAGGTGATTAGTCCACACCATCGGCTGACCAAAACCAAAACCAGCTTTAATATTGATATTCATTAACGTATTTGTTTATTTAATGACCAAATACAGTCAACAACATTCATTTTAACCTTTTCACAATTGCCTAATAACAACGACTAATGCAGTTCACACAGTCCACAAAAATCATCGGAAGCCACTAAATGTAGAGAAGAAAATAACTCACTTGGCATATAGATACTCTTGAGTTAATTCTAAACCTTCATCATATCCAAATTTCCGTAGAACTGTCCATGTTGTTTCATTTCTGCCACGCTGTATGAAGAGGCAGTGTAAAAATATAAAGCCTTTCATAGTAATGCATTCATTTTCTATTCCACCAGCAATATTTTGTGCAATTACTGATTTCACCTCATCTAGAACCTAAATAAATCGAAACTATCAAAACTGCACATACATTATGATGATAACAATTATAAAGGTGGAGCTAACCTGCAATTGTAAAGGCGTGTCAAAGCATTTCTTTTGAAATATTGTAATCTCATAATCATCAAGGAGTCCGTCACCATCTAGATCACATATTTTAAATATTCTTGACAATGCCTTTTTACACCGTTCCGTTAACTAAAACAACTTTTTATAGTCACAATACATACATCAACAAATCATATCAAAGCTATAGTGGCTATATAAGTAAACCTACCTCTTGTTCTTCAATTGAATATATGGGGTGAATAGGATGTAGGACAGCCTTTTGTGCATTGTAAAACATTTCTGATACATTTGTTAATGTCTTAGCAGAGCATTCAATGCATCTGTCAACTTCAGGATATTCTTCTGCTATGTCCCAAATATTCTAAAATTCATAAGAGGAATTACTTATAATAATTACTTAATTGTTAAGTTTCATTATACTTTTTTAGATACTATTACAATTATATATCAAAAAAATTGATATTAGTTACATAACAGAAAATGACAATAATAGAATAAATGAAACACCAGTTATATAAAAAAAATTCACCAGTTACTTATTAAACAATAATTTGTGACACATATTTAAATAAAAAAAATCATAGCTCACATCTATGACAGAATAGTCAATCAAATCAATTTTATTTCCAACTAGAATTACTGGCTTTCTGTAATCCTCCGGACAATTATCCCTAACAAATGGCAACCAATATGAAGCGACCTTATTTAATGTTTCTTGTTTGTCAACTGAAAAAACTATGCAAATCACGTGAGCTTTCTCAATTTCTTCTGAGACTTGCTCAAGTGTTTGCTCGTTTACTGAAAAGAAATATAAATATTATGTATGAGACGGAACGCCACCTTATGTTTTTCTCTGACTACAGCTCAAAATACATACGACAGACATCCACAATATTGGTAGGTACTTGTTCCGGTGTAACATCAGCCGGTATTGTGATCTCCTCTGCTTTTGGAGGAACATGTTCCGTAAATTCTTCGGTGACCAGAGAAAGTATTAATGATGTTTTGCCGACACCTGGTTCACCTAATAAGATAATGCGAACATTTCTAGGTATTGCTTCATAAACCATTTTGGACACGTTTTATTTTCTTTACGAGCACATTTTTGTAAATTAAGAACTGTTAGTCTATTATAGGTTTATATACAAGTTACAATTTCATTCGTGATCGATATTTTCAATTTTATGTAATTTTGCTTGTAGCACTTCAATAATCAACACAATTTACATCCTGACATTAACAATTGACAACCTGTTTTATTAACTTGAAACTTAGCAAAAATCCATCCATAGACGCACAACATTGGCAGAATCCATTTAGAAACAGAAAAAAATCGGATTAAGAAGAAGTTAGCAAAAAGTAATAATCTGTATTCTGTGTGACAACTGACAACTTATTATTGTGTAAAATCTCATGCTCGCAAGTCGCAAAATAACTTATAAAGGCTAATTATTCTTCTTAAGTTTCTACTTTTCTAATCTTACAAAATACTGTAAGCTTAAAATCGGTTAAAAGAGTATCATGCATAAAATGAATCTTGACAAACATTAAGATGGGCGAAATAAATAAGAATCAAAAAGAGTGGCAGAATTGCAAAGGTTTACGCGAGCCGATAAAGTCTTTACAAGTTAGTGCTTTAAAATTTAAAAAATATATATTCTCAATGTCCATTATAATGTAGTATTTCGAATAATGCATCTGGTATAGATCAAATTTTTGCAATTGTTCTTGATTGTTACATTAGGTATAACTGTGACCAAGTATCCAGTTATATTATGAGAATATTCTATTAAATACATAAACGTGCAATTGTAATACTATTATTAATGTTAAGAAGAGCTTTCATAGGTTGTTATAACTAAATTTTAGGTCCGATATTCAACTTGCCAGTTAAATATCACTCTATGCGTGTCTAAAACCAAGGCACAAGTTTATCTTAAGGTTATACTTAGTTCTTGTTTTACATTTTATATTTTAATAGGATATTAATATAATGTCTAGATAAATCATTACCAGGTACTTGTTTATAACAAAAATAAATGAATAGGAAATGGTTTTGTTAAACGAATGTTCTATAATGCCTAGTACCTTTCAAATGTGTGAATAAATTGCCCCCATATTGTGTAACTTGAACTACTAGTGGCTTTTGTATGTCTAGAAATATGGATATATCTGCATCTGGTAACTCAGATCCTGTAAGATCAAAAATATCAATGCAATTTTTAGTTTCCTAATAAAGTCTTTTTGTTTAAGGATAAATGGAGATTAGTTCCATCATTTCTTCAAGTAAAAGGCTTGGTGAAACAACACATAGACTCGTTCAACTATTTCATAAATGTAGAAATAAAAAAAATTGTTCAAGCAAATGAAAAAATATTTTGTGACTCTGATCCTATGTTTTATTTAAAATACCTAAATGCTTATGTTGGTACTCCTGATCTTGAAGAAGGTTTTAATGTTACTAAAGCTACAACACCACACGAGTGTCGACTGAGGGATTTGACTTACTCGGCACCAATTACTGTTGATATAGAGTATATAAGGGGAAACCAAAGGGTCATCAAAAATAAACAACTTATTGGGAGGTACTTGAAAGATTATTTTAAATTTATATAAGTAATTATATAATGCTTTTTCTCATTACCATTTCTTGGTTTCAGAATGCCTCTTATGTTGCAATCATCAAACTGTGTATTAACAAATAAATCAGACTATGAATTATCACAACTTAACGAATGTCCACATGATCCTGGTGGTTATTTTATAATAAGAGGTAAGATCGGAGAGGCGAAGGCTTTGAAAAAACCATTTTGTTCCATAGTTCAGAATCATCTGAATCCTGACTACAAAATTATTGAATGTTCAAGGTCAAGAAAAGGTTATATTGATTCAGGAACAATTATCAAGAAATAGGATGATCGTGGACGAATTTAAAGGTGCTATTCAGTGCCAAGTAACTAGTTCTACTCATGAGAAGAAAACAAGAACAAATGTCATTGTCAAGAATGGAAAATATGTATTACGACATAATGCTTTGTCTGAGGTATGTTTATTTATACATATTATCAATTCTCTACAACAATATACATAAAATCAATTATGTCAAGGCTAACCTTTTTCTTTAAATGGATTACAGGATATCCCAATAACTGTCGCCTTTAAAGCTATGGGTATCTGCAGTGACCAGGAAATATTACAACTGATTGGGACAGACGAGAACACTATTAAGAAGATGGCGCCTTGTATATTAGATTGCCATAATTTAAAAATATTCACTCAGCATCAAGCACTCTCATATATTGGGCAGAAATTTAAGGCTAAAAGGTTACTCTTGATTTTTTAGGAAGAGGCATTTATTTATAGTTATTCATTGCATCACTTTGCATAAGGCAATCTTACATTATTAAAATCTGTTTTAGATATCCTACAAATGTGTCGAAAATGAAAACTCCCGTGGACGAGGCTCGCGAACTTTTAGCTACAACTATCTTAGCTCACGTCTCAGTGGAAAACTACAATTTTTATGTTAAAGCAATTTACTTGGCTATAATGGTGAGGCGGGTCATCGAGGCCGAGGCGAACACGGGTGCGATCGACGACCCCGACTACTACGGCAACAAAAGATTGGAATTAGCTGGATCTCTGTTGGCACTGATGTTTGAGGATTTATTTAAAAGGTTCAACTGGGAATTGAAAAACATCGCCGAGAAGATCATACCTAAAGTTAAAGCAGCACCTTTCGACATAGTGAAACACATGCGACCCGACTTGATAACGAACGGACTGTTTACAGCCATTTCCTCTGTGAGTGTTTGCCGTTTCTTAACGTCTTATCGTCGGATTAGTAATCGTAATTATTGTTCCTATATATAATCGTAATATCCCGGGTTGTACAATATAACCGATCATGTGTAGACGACATTGAAAGTAAATTGAGTAAAGCTTTCACGGCCATCGATCAGCATATCAGCATAGCAGTGAGCGAGAAGAGGTTTGAGAACCTCTTCTCGCTCACATCGGCCGAACAGCCCGAAAGACAATAATATGATGACATTGAAAGTAATTATTATATTAGTAGTAAAATATATTGCGTGATTCAAATCCGTGAAAACGGGATTGAACTGTGCCGGAAACAATTTATTGCACAAACTAAGTTATTGTACAATAATATATAGCGTCTGGAGCTGGCCGTCTAAGTATTGTGCAATCCAATTTGCACAATAATTTTGATCGTCTATGCGCCGCTTTAGTTGGAAAAGGTGTAGACTCTACACCTCTAGACCTATGCTGTAGAGCAACATAAGCAATTTTTTTTATTTCAATTTACCACGTTTTAGGGTAATTGGACAATTAAAAGATTTAAAATGGAGAGGCATGGCGTGACTCAAGTACTGAGTCGCCTCAGTTACATATCGGCATTGGGAATGATGACCAGAGTTAACTCTCAATTTGAAAAGACTCGCAAAGTCTCGGGTCCGAGGTCTCTGCAGCCTTCGCAATGGGGTATGTTGTGTCCCTCGGACACGCCCGAAGGAGAGGGTTGCGGTTTAGTAAAAAACTTGGCTTTGATGACGCATATAACAACTGAATGGTCCGAAGAGCCTATATCCAGGTTAGCGTGCAACGCTGGAGTGGAAGACGTTAGACTTTTGGGTGGCGAAGAAATAAACAACCCCTCCAACTACCTGGTATTTTTAAATGGTAACCAATCAAATTTTAATAAGTAATTGTCTTATTGTATTTCTTATTTTTGTTATTGATTTGCATTCTTTATTCAGGCAATATTTTGGGTGTCACAAGGCATTACAAGAAGCTCATAAAGATATTCCGACTGTTTCGACGTCGCGGGATCATCTCGGCGTTCGTGTCCATTTATCCTAATCATAACCAACGGACGGTGTACATTTGCAGCGATGGCGGCAGACTGTGTCGGCCGTATATCATAGTCGAGAGGGGCCTTCCCTTAGTCAAACAAATTCACATAAACGAACTAAAAAGAGGCCTCAAAAAGTTTGAAGATTTCCTAAAAGATGGGCTCATTGAATATCTAGATGTGAATGAAGAAAACGACAGCCACATAGCGACCGTAGAAGCAGAAGTAGATCCTTATGTGACGACACATCTCGAAATAGAACCTTTCACGATCTTGGGAGTTTGCGCCGGGCTAGTGCCGTATCCGCACCATAACCAGAGTCCACGAAACACCTACCAGTGTGCTATGGGAAAGCAAGCCATGGGTAAGTTGTCCTCAAGTACAACATTACAGTTTCAGTGAGTAAACGCTTGCGTACAATTATTTTTGCTATCTTTTCAGGAACCATAGGGTACAATCAGAAGAATCGGATCGATTCACTGATGTACAATTTAGTCTATCCTCAGAGTCCGATGGTCAAGACTAGAACTATCGAGCTCACCAACTTCGACAAGTTGCCGGCCGGGCAGAACGCCACCGTCGCCGTGATGAGCTACAGCGGCTACGATATAGAGGACGCGTTAATTCTCAACAAGGCCTCGATCGACCGCGGGTACGGCCGTTGCTTGGTTTACAAAAATGCTAAAACCACAATGAAAAGGTACAGCAACCAAACCTCAGACCGAATCTTGGGGCCCTCGAGAGACGCCACCTCGGGGAAAATCATCAAAGCACACGACATCCTGGACTCGGACGGAATCGCGGCACCCGGCGAAATGGTGGAAAACAGGCAAGTTCTCATCAACAAACAAATGCCTCCGGCGACTTTCAATCCGCTGGGCCAGGGACAACCGCAGCAGGTCGACTACAAAGACGTCCCAATCACGTACAAGGGGCCGGTGGAATCACACATAGAAAAAGTTATGGTGTCTTCCAACTCCGAAGACGCTTTCCTAATTAAAATCTTACTGAGACAAACCAGGATCCCCGAAATAGGAGATAAATTTAGCTCGCGCCACGGCCAGAAAGGAGTGACGGGCCTAATAGTGCAGCAAGAGGACATGCCTTTCAACGACAGAGGAATCTGTCCGGACATGATCATGAACCCGCACGGATTCCCCTCGCGCATGACGGTCGGGAAGACTATCGAGCTCCTGGCCGGAAAGGCCGGTCTGATGGAGGGGAAATTTCATTACGGTGAATATTGACCTGGAGCACGATGCGGTTTTTTGGAACGTGCTATTTTAATTTTTTTTATTCCAGGTACCGCGTTCGGTGGGTCCCGCGTGAAGGACGTCTGTCTAGAACTAGAAAAGCACGGATACAATTATCACGGGAAAGATATATTCTACTCGGGCTTAACCGGTGAACCGCTCGAAGCTTATATTTATTCTGGGCCTGTAAGTTGAGTGATGTGACTATCTAAGCTTTATTACGCTCTTCGAAGGCCACGGCGGGCGATAAGTGATCACTCGTTTTCGACAGGTTTACTACCAAAAGTTAAAACACATGGTGCAGGACAAGATGCACGCCAGAGCTCGCGGGCCGCGAGCCGTTCTCACGCGACAACCCACCGAGGGACGCTCGCGCGACGGGGGCCTGCGTCTGGGCGAGATGGAAAGAGACTGCCTCATCGGCTACGGAGCTAGGTGAGGTCTTAAGTGCGTTAAACGCTTTATGTAAAAATTTCAACAGGTTTACTAAGTGCCCTCTGCTTACCATCGAATGGCCGTCAGCTTAGATCTTACTTTTGCAGTATGCTACTCATGGAGCGCTTGATGTTCGCGTCGGACGCGTTCAGCACCGACATCTGCGGCGCCTGCGGCAGACTGGCGAGCCGCGCCTGGTGCCACGCGTGCCGCTCCTCGGCCGCCGTAGCGGCCGTCGAGATGCCCTACGCCTGCAAGCTTCTCTTCCAGGAACTGGCCTCTATGAACATCGTGCCCAGACTGACGCTCAAGAGATACTGTTAACAGCGGCTTCGTTCGTCCTTAATAATTATGAAAAGACAAATTAAAAAGAAAAAAATGTGAGCCGTCACGGGACGCCTGGCAGATGTGAAACATCGCCATTATTTTGTAAAAGTAATGTGCAGAAAAGAACATATTGTGATAGGAACTAAATATGTCATAATGAAAAAAAAAATATTACGATTTTTTCCAGATAACGATGACTTTTATTGAATAAACATTTATTTTCATTAAATACAAAAATTTACGAATTTATTTCAAATCGTGACTACTTAATTCGTTTAATCAGTGACTTCTTTAATAGTTATATTCGATGTTTGCGCATGGCGACGCGTCGCCACACCGTACACACTACTGCATATAGACTGTATATATATACCATCGTATAGCGTGGCGATGCGTCGCCACGGCATGCGTCGCCACGCCAGAAATCGGTTTTACATGCGGCTATAGATGTTTCACATCAAAAACGAAAAATCGGATGTGTGCGTTTGCAACGTATCAAACATTGCGTAACACGCTCCGAAGAAAGTGAGAAATGAAGAAAGACAGAAAGCGGGAAACCACGTCACCGATCGTGAGCCGCGCTACGAACGCGTCGGAATCGAGTCTTCCGAACGAATTTCGCGGTGGGAGGTCCTTTAGCATCGAGCTCCGTTGGTCGCTCGCATCTATCATATAAGTTCTCTGCGACGCCTCCCTGACCACGTAATCGCAGATGTCGGTTCGGCGCCAAAACCTGGCAAATTCGTCAGAGTACTGAAAATATTTCTTCATTTTAATGTGGTGAAAACAGTGTCCGAGTTTATATTGTCTGAGCTTTCTATGTGGTTTCCAATAAATATTAGTCTTTAGTTCTGCATTTTTATTTACATTTTATTATTTAAGGACTATCGTTTAATCATAATTACATAACTTTTTTAAACACAGCATGAAAGTCTATAGACAAAGTTAACATTAAGTGTACAAATGTATTTTAACGATAAATCAAGGCTTTGTTTTGATTAAATGACAGTATAGCTAATACACAATGTAAAACGGAAATGATAGAATGTAATGATGAATCTCTAAATCACCCCTTCATTCAGCTTCGTCGCCAGTTGATAGAGGAAACGAACGAAGATCGTGCTCTCAATTAAGACTAAATCGTGCCTATAATAACTTGGAGTCGTTACAATTATCACATCATCGAGTAGAACAGAAGCATCTCTTTAAGTAGAAAAAAGTTATTTATGCATACTAAGACTTGTCTTTGTTCTACACAGCGATTTGTTAAGTACAATTGATTATAAAAAAATCACCTTTTAGTGTGAAAAGAAACGCCTCTGGATGTGGAAAACGCCACGTCTTCGCGAAACTCACTAACTAATTTTGAACACATGCACTACTTTTAAAAAGTCAGTCTTTAAGAAAAAGTTATCTCAGAAAGCGGTTTGCATTTTGAAAAGGTAAATATTACATACGCGTGCACGTTTTATATATGTTATTGATATATTTGATGTAAATAGCAAAGTGAGAGTAGTCTTGCACACGACAAATTAATACCACTGGCTGACATGCGCCAACTAGTCAACTTGGCTTGATAAAGCAAACGCTCACGAACACGTACCTTTCCCATTCTAAAGAGCATCATGGCATTTTTATAGGCGGTCGAGGCGTAAATCTCGGCAAGAGCAGCTGCGTTTTATAAAGGAAGAAGTTAAATCACGTGTCTGGCTGTGGGCCAACACATTGCTCATCACACTTCTGTGCCTGCCTGCGACCGAAACGATCTTCCGTTTCTCCGGGATTCGAACCCAGGACCTGTAGCGCTCAACTGGTTAACACCGAATCGGGCCGTATCTTTATCGTTAATTTAGCACCATACATATTCTAGTTCAGGATTATCTAAATCCCACTATCCTCTACAAAGAAAAGCGGACATAAAATCGCTTCGGTCAATTGACTTCAAGTATACTCGTTAGGACTTACGTCAATGTTAAAGTCAAACTGTTTAGCGCTCATCCAAACGTCGATAAAAATATGCGAAACCGTTTCAGATCGCTATATTTCGTTCCTCGCCTGAGTCTCCGAAGAGGGATGCTGATTACTTATGCCAGATGAGACTGAAACTAACAGAGAGCCCAAAAAGAAAAAGAAAAACTTAAATTTACAGTTTGAAATCAGGCTTTAGACATAGTAATTAGCTGTTAACTGATGAAGTGATGCATCTGGTGGCTACTGATGGAACTTTCCCATTATAATGTGGATTTTAGGGCAAAACATGTGTATTCGGGTCAGATGGTAAATCATCAGATAATTCTGATTTACCATCTGACCTGAGATTACTCAGGCTAATGTAAAGTATACACTATCCCACACTTTCCAGAAACTGTTACTCTGTTCATTATTATTAAGGCTATTAGTAAGGCTAAATTAAATAGGTAATAGTCAAACGGATCTAAATTGCTTTGTTAAGGAGTAAATTTTAATTTTTTTTTGTCATGCGTTTGTATTTTGTACTTTTAATATAATTAAGCAAAAATTTAAACCTAGTTGGATCTCGTTCCGCGCTTTAAAGGATATTAATTAATATGAAGAGTTGTAATAATACGCTTTTAGCTACTTCTCGGGAGACAATTCCGCATTTAGCAGAATAGCATATATAGCATTGTTTTGACACGAACCACTCACTGAATTTATTAACTTAATGAAACACTATTTATTAATAAGCACTTTACTCAAAACAGATAACAACTTGTAGCCGTGTGTTTCTCCTGGTCGCGATGCTAATCGCGACCTCCTTGATCAGCCCATTTGGGCTCTGCAAGGGAAGATCAATCGCGCCTTGCCGATACAAGGCGGTCCCTGGAGTCGTATTTCGTGGAGCTTGAATGCCCCCGCATCTCGCGGCAAGCCAGCGGATATGGATGCGGGATCGGCGTTCGTGGTTGTATAGAAGTTGGTCGCCGGCGGGACACTATTCAAGTCACACGCACCGGCGTCCGGGGGTGCACCGCGGGTAAAACGCGGTTGCAGGCGATCGGGGACACGGGCGGGATTAAATCGCGCGCACCCGTGTCCTGTGCTTCTACATCTGCATCAAGACCGCGTCGGGGTAGAGACGCATGGCGGTAAGCCGGGCCGGGCCAAAGGGGCCTGTGGGCCTGGTGGGGCAGCTGGGACGGGCCCTGGACGAGGGGGCGGTCGACCGGCGCCTAGCCAGCAGGGCACGGCGCGACCAGTGGGGGGCATCGCAGCTACTTCGGAACATGCGGGGCTTTCAGCGACCGGGGAGGGGCGGTCAAGTCGCAACTCCCGGCTTAGCTCGAGAGCGGTGGCCGCCTCCTGTGAATCTTCTCCGTCTGCATCAGTGGCCGCGTCGGGGAGCGCGGCGAATGCGGGGCTTCCGTCGGCAGCCGGGGAAAGGTCTTCATTGGGTGTGTGGATGTCTTAATCTGCTTCGGGTTGCTAGTGGAATCGATAAACGTCCCACTAGTAACCGGGAATGGATCCTCTTCGTCGGCGAAACTAGGTTGCGCCGAGTGGGGTTGTCCAGTCGCCTTGTTAGCTTCGTTGAGGGGGAGGGGCGCGGGGGGAGGGCGCATTACTCGGCGCGCGGCACAGACCCACCAGGTGAGACCCTCGGTAATCCCGAGGGAAGCCCAGCGAGGCATAGCCAGCGGCTGTATCGCTTTGAGAATGCGCCCGTAGGAATGCCGCGCCCCGGAGTCCTGTTCGGTAGTGGTTTGCGATACATCGCGGCCGCAGCCTCAGACAGCGGCCCGCCGATGTATCCGTGCACTGGATGCGCTCGTTCGTCCGGATGTCAGCGGTGTGGTGGTACGCAACGTAAACGTAACCTAACGGGAGGCGTTGCGATCAGGAATTCGTGCTTGGTAAGGCGCGCGATACTCGCGCTTAGCCGAAGCACAGAGGGCCTACAGGCACTGCCCTAGCCATCGAGCCCGTTCCGGACCCCTAGCCAGTCCGCAAGCGAACCAGCTAGTGGCGATCGGTTCGGGAACGACGTCGGTGGCTATTGGATGTAAGTCTCCATGCTTCGGCCAAGCGGATCTTTTTCACAAAAAAGACGGCTTAGCACAGCGGAGGGCACGTGTGCTCGCGGCTGCAGGTAGCCGTCCAACAACTTGTACCTTAAAGTTAAAAGCCTATAAGATTTAAAGGGAAGAAATTTTTAGGGGGGTTTTTTAAGGGGGGGCCCCAACAAAAAATTTAAAGGGTATAAAAAAAATTTTTGGGTTTAAAAAAATTGGGGAAAACCCCCCCGGCCCGCGGCCCCCAAAAAAGGAAGGGGAGAAAAACCAAAAAAGTATACGTGCTTGTAATTGCTAATGCTATGCTGTAGAGTTAACAGCTTAAAGGTTAAGAGGGAGGCGAAATAACCAAACCCAATGAGTGCTGTAGTGCTACTGATTTATTTCCTATTAATATCGCTTAAATATAATTTACAAGAAAGCAGGAAAGTATGATGTTCAATAAGCTAACCTTGTAAATTTGCTTATAATATAAACATTGATGTGAGCACGACGCTGAACGTGAGAATTATGCTAGCTATGCTATAAAATAATATTATTATAAAAATATAGTAATTTTGTTCGGACGTTTGTCCGTACATCCTGCCGCCTCAGAACAAAAGGAAAAGAGCTAGCTAACATTCGAAATAGGAAATAAACTCAAACTTAAACTCAAATTAAGAATTACGAAAAACTTAAACAAGAAGTGTTACTGACTGAAATGTCGTTGTAAAATTAAAATTAAGACATAGCAAAAGGTTGAGAACTTAAGGATAGTTTAAAGTCTCTAAGCGAAATAATAGCCTATACACTAATCACTTCACTTGGTTCACTTGTTTCACTTTTATAGATTTCGGGTATGACTATTTTATAAGACACTTTGTCCTTAGCAATGTTAATGGGACTTTCCCTAGGGAGGGGTCCCGGCACCGGTGGTGCTGGGCCTGCCGGCTGGCGCTGTGGGCCCGCAGACATTCCGGTACAATGGGGCACTCTCGAACTGTAGTGGCAACCGGCAGCAGCAGTAGTACATGCTGTAGCCATGGGCTTCCGCGTTTTATTCCGACAATAGACAATGCTACCTAGGCACGCCGTAATTGTCAGTATGATCAGAATTCCGCCAAGTATAGAGTACTGAGGGATATCGTGTACGGTTAAAGTAGTGCTAGCCTGTTCCTTTAAATTATTTATTTTGTCTGCTATATCTAACCAGTTATTAGTGTGGTTTTCCGCTAAAAATTCTCTGGGAAGGATTGAGGAGATATTCACAATTTGATTCAACACAGAGGAGTGGTTCGTTATTGGCAGACTGTGATCAACGTTCATGTGACTCATAAAATGATTATCTCCGTATAGTAAAAATTCCTTTCCGTGAATAGAGCATCCTTGACCTACATCAATCAACCCGTTGAACGTTACAGACAATATATCCATAGTGTCACCACAAAATATACGGAGTGTGCATTCCTCGCAGCACGTGAATAACCACCTGTTAATGTTTTGTAATTTGAGCCACCTTTCAGTACAATGCGCCGGTTTTATATTACATAATTTTCTATTGTTTATTATGAGTTCGCACAGGTTCGATGTTATTCGTGATCGATATAGTGGTTTGTGATATGCACAGATAATTTTTTCCGATGAGGTGTGGAGACAGGATTTTAGGTCGGAATCCGACAACGGAATTAATAAGTCCTTTTGTAAATTAAAGGCGATATACTGCGTATTAATTTCTGTTATAAATCCGTTGACAGGAAGGCTGATCAATTCATCTACTTGGAAGGATTCTTTACTGAGTAAGGGAAGTTTAACCTCTATCACCATGTATTTGCTGCCCATCTTCGCGTTCATCTTCATAACCTTGTAGTATTCCGTGATATAGTTTTTATCAGCCGGTAATTCCATCTCTGTTGGTAAACGACCAGATATGATACTAATTTCCGTTTGTAATTGCTCAGGTGGAAGAATGTAAGAATTCATGTGTCCCTGCCAAATGTCGCTTATTGTATCCAGTAGATCCTTTTGAATATTTCTTAGGCTGGAAAGTATTATCTGTGCGCTGACTAATGAGGACAGGATATAAAGTTCAATAGAATGGTTGATGTTATCTTGATTAATTGAAAGGGAAATGTTGTATTTGACTTTGTATAATATTAAACTGTTTGTTCATAATATCTTCATTACGGTGCAGTATATTATTCTGGGCTTCAATGACGCTAGTTTGGTTCTTTAGTAGTTGTGTAAGATGATTTTGATTGCCTTGGACGTTATCAATATCTTGCTCATATTTCTGTAAAAATCTGTCATCCAAAACACCGAATAACGTATTCGCTAAGTAGCCGACTCCATTAACTAATCCCCTTCTCTGCCTTGTAGCTCCGTGTCGAACCATGAGAAGAGAGTTGTGATGGTCAATTTCTCCGAGCTCATGTTGCAGTTGATACAGTATACTTTTATACTGATAGGAAATTTCCGAATCTGTTAAAATTTCTGTTAAGTGGTTAATATATTTGTGCGCATAATCTAGCCCCGACCAATATGTAGTCATATTGTAGTATACCACCAACTTCCACTCGTCGCGAATTAATTTCATGTCGTCATAGAGTTTGTTAAAATGGATATTCTTATTTTTCTCAAAGCTAGTGATATTATAAGATATTGAACTAGCGGGTTGAATGACGAAGTAGTAAACATGTTAGGCTTGTATAGAGTAATGAACTCTTGTTTGGTCCAGGTCGTTGTCTTATTGTCTTGGTTTCCTCCCCTCTTGGGACACCTTGTTTTGGAGCGTCACTATCCGACACGGATTGTACCTGTTGATTATTTTCACTGACCGGAAGGAGGGCCAACTTAATAACTGGCCTTTTTATGACTCCATTTTTTGTTTTAAGCGAGACGATGCGAACGTAACCATCTCTTCCGGGGTGAACTTCTGTGACTCTTCCCAGAGCCCATTTTCCAGGTGGAATATGGTCTTCGCGTACTACCACGACGTCCCCCACTTCAATGTTCTTACTAGGAGAGCGCCATTTTGACCTTGATTGCAGTTGTTGTAGATAATCTAGAGACCACTTCTCCCATATTTGTTTGTTCATTGACTGGACCATGCGCCATCTTGTAGACAATTCAATTTTATCCGGTTCCGTTTGTGGGCGAGACAGCATGGAGCCTCCTATTAAAAAATGTCCGGGACTAAGATATTCATCGTCTAAGCCTTCAGACAGAGCTAGCAATGGACGTGAGTTCAAACAAGCCTCGATTTGGTGTAACAAAGTGGTGAATTCTTCAAAAGTAAGTTTCTGCTCGCCAATTACTCTCTTTAAATGGTATTTCAGACTCTTAACGGCCGCTTCCCAAATCCCTCCCGCGGAGGGAAAGGAGGGGGCATTATACTTCCATTCGATGTGGGAGTCAATTTTTGCAAAGAAGTCCTTGTTTATAGCCCCTAGAATTTGGTGGGATTCTTTCTGCAATAGACGATTGGCACCTACAAAGTTAGTGCCATTGTCGCTATACATATGGCGTGGAGTTCCACGCCGAGCGCAAAATCTTCTAAAGGCAGCTAAAAACGCTTGAGTGCTCAAATCCGTAACAAGTTCTAGATGTACCGCCTTAGTGGAAAGACATACGAAAACCGCGACGTAACCCTTGGATGTTCGTACTCCGCGTCCTTTGTTAAGTTTAATATCGAAGTGCCCAGTGAAGTCTACGCCGGTATGTGTAAAAGGACGGGAGGGGGTCACCCTTGGTTGTGGTAAATCTGCCATTATTTGATGTCGCTTTTCTTCGGTGAAGCGTCTACACCTAACACACTTTCGAAGTTGCGTTTTTATAGTACGTAATCCACTAAGAATCCAATATTGATCTCGGATATGCGATAATGTTAGACGTGGTCCACCATGAAGGGTTACCGTATGAGCTTCTTGTATAATAAGCTCCGTAATCCGACTGTGACTCGCTAATATGATGGGATTTTTCGCGGAGGGGCTCAAAAACGAGTTGTTTAGCCGTCCACCAACTTTAAGAATTCCATTTTTGTCTATAAAAGGGTTTAAACCTGCTAGCTTGCTTGATTTATTTATATGTGTATGTTTCAGTAGATAGTTATAATCGTCTTCGAAGTCTTGCTGTTGCGAAGTTTTAATAATTATATCATGTGCTGATTTTATTTCCGCCGGCAACAGGTGATTGGCTTTTGACACGGTTTGTTTATTTTGCAACCATTGCATGAAACGTGATAGCCATCCTATTGTTGTTGTCACGCGTCTTAGTGAGCTATTATCATTCAATAGTTTTAGTATGAAATTGTTATCACATAAAGCTGCGCATACGCGAATCTTTTTGGTCTCCACCATAGGAGCGGGATATAATTTTTTTGTTATGCCCATCTCGTCGATATTTTTAATCCATTGAGGACCTTCCCACCACAATGTGTGCTCTAAAAGTTCCTTTGCTGAGATTCCCCTTGAAGCACAGTCCGCCGCGTTCTGATCCGTCCGTACATGATGCCAAGAAGAAGTCGGAATTATCTTAGTTATGTCTCGTATGCGGTTAGCCACGAATTGTTTCCATCGATTAATGTCGCCATACAACCAACCCAGCACGACCATGGAATCGGTCCAAGCAAATATTTTTACCTCCTTGTCTGACCTAATTGATTTTACGACTTTCTCCACTAATTTTGACAACAGGTACGCGCTGCATAGTTCCAATCGAGGCAAAGTAAGTTTGTTTTTAACGGGCGCTAACTTAGTTTTAGCGGTAAGTAGTCTCGTTGATGGCTCACCCTTATCTGTTATAGATTTTATGTATACGGCGCAAGCGTATGCTTTCTCTGATGCGTCGCAAAATCCGTGTAACTCGTAGTTTTTGCTATTTCCAACATATCGAGGAATGATGAAGTTGTTTAACGTTTGTAGATCCTGTTTAAGTCGACGCCAGTCGTCCTTAATTGATCTTGATACTTCTTCGTCCCATTGCAAATCATCCGTCCATGTCGTTTGAAATAAAAGCTTTGCCCTAACCGTGAGAGGGCTTAACCAACCCAGTGGATCAAAAACCTTCGATATGTGGGAAAGTAATTGTCGCTTGGTTAATGTCTCCTCAATTAAATTATCAAATTTGTTTTGGAAGGTGAAAGTATCGGAGTCAGGATGCCATCGTAGTCCCAATGTTTTTCTTGATTCGGAGCATTTAAAATCTAATGGGGTATCAAGTTGATTCCGATTGAGGTTCTTCGTTAACTCCTTGCTGTTGCTGGACCATTTACGGATATTCATGCCCGCACCTCGAAGAATATTTATTACTTGTTGTTGTAATTCCTTCGCTTCCTCTAAGGTGTCTCGTCCTTCTATGAGATCATCCATATAGAAGGATCCTTTCAGTGCTTCTGCAGCTAGGGGATACCGATGGCCCTCGTCGACTGCTAGTTGTCTTAGAGTCCGCATAGCAAGGTAAGGCGCTGCCTTGGTTCCATATGTTACAGTGGTTAGCTCATATTCTCTTAATTTATGCGAGGGTGAAGGACGCCACACGATACGCTGCAGAGCACGATCGCATTTCCTGGTAACCAGTTGCCGGAACATTTTTTCAATATCGGCCGTGATCGCGAATCTATATTGGCGCCAGGTTATTATAAGACTAAGTAAGTCGTTTTGAAGATTAGGACCGCGTTCCATAAGATCATTGAGACTGTGTCCAGATGTGGTCCTTGCGGATGCATTGAAGACAGTTCGAAGTTTCGTTGTGGTGGAGTCCATTTTTAAGACACCGTGGTGCGGGAGGTAACAGGAAATTTGTTTCTCCCTTCCGTCACAAAGTTCCATATGACCTAAACCTTCATATTCCTCCATAAAGTTAATATAGCTCTTCGCAAATTCTTCGTTTGCGTGCATCTTCCGCTCCAAATTGTAAAATTGCGCAGTTGCGCGATGTTTAGACGTTCCTAGTTTTTGCTCAAAATCAGTCTTCATAGGAATCGCGACTTCATATCTCCCATCAGGTAAGCGCCGTGTTGTTTTTTGATACAAGTCTTCGCAATATTGCTCCTCTTCAGTTAACTGAGGTTCTGAAGTATCGATTTGTTCTAATTCCCAATACTGAGAAAAATCTTGTATTTCTTGGGCCACAACGTGACAGTGATAAGTCTTTACGTTGCCCGATAGTACCCAACCTAGCCTTGTTTGTTGAGCTATGGGTGCCTTCGATGGGCCTTTGAGTAGTCCGTCCATTATGATTTCTGAGTACACACTGGCGTCCAAAAGGATGTCTATTGTTTGTGAAACGTTGTATTCAGGATCAGCTAGAGGAATGTTTTCTAAGTGGGACCATGATTGCTTCTCGAAGGATACCTGAGGCAAACTGTTGGTAACGCGGTTGATGACAAGTGCGTCCGTTCTGAGCGTGTAATTGCTATGAATCGACTCACATTCAAGAGTCACGATACCTCGACTTTGCTTCGAACCGGAACCAATACCCGAGATGTTAGCATGGTGATACTTTCTTGTCAATCCCAACAGTTGAGCGGCGTTCTCGGAGATTAGTGATACCTGTGAGCCTTGATCCAGTAGAGCCTTAAAGGTAATTTGAGAGCCATCTTGAGCCTTGACCTTGAGCAATAAGGTTGTAAGTAATATTTCTTCATCTAAGTTTGCTACGTAGTTTACGTTGTGTTTTTTGTTAGGGCTGACGTCGGATTTCGTTGCGGATGATGAAGAAGGTGATGGCGGCTTGGAGCGGTTAGGTGGAGCACTTACACCCCATGAATTATGTAAGAGTGAGTGGTGGTCGGCTTGACAATATTTGCAGCGTTTAAAGGAAGTACACGGTCCGTTGTGTGGGTAAAGGCAGTTTTTACAACACTTTATGTTAAACACGGCCCTCATCCTGTCTCGCGGTGATAACTGCGCAAATTTTGGGCATTGGTAAAGATAGTGTCCTTGGTGACATAAAGGACACCTTGAAGAACAAGTTGCTGTGGCTTGGTACTCTCTTCGGTAAGTTGGTTTAGTGTTGGTTATTTTAGGTGGAAAGTAATTGCTCTGTTTAAGTTGGTGCGGCATATCTCTGTCGGGCTCCAATGCGATAAATTTACATTCTATGAAATTCATGAGTTCACCCAGGGATGGCAAGTCGCGGGGCGAGTTACGAGCCTCTTTGTATTGAGCTAGAGTAACGGAATCTAGTTTTTTACAAATTAGGTGGACTAAAATAGGATCCCAGGTACTAATATCGATTCCCAGATTTTTTATTGCTAAAATACTTTCGTTACATGCCTCATATAGCCTTTTGAGGTCGTAACAACTTTGTTTTTGAACGCTCGGTTGGCTCAGTATAAGTTCAACGTGATTATTAAAAAGTAATTGGTTGTTATTATATCGGCGCTGTAATAGATCCCAAGCTGTATCATAGTTCGCTTCTGTGATATTTAAATGTTGAATGAGGCGCTCAGCTTCTCCTTTCAATTTAGACTTGAGATGTTGCATTTTTTGGCATTTGGTGAGAGACTTGTTATTATGGATGCTTTGTAGAAACAAATCGTAAAATGTTGGCCAATTTATATATCTACCGGTGAAGACAGGAATTTCTATGTGAGGCGTAGATTGCTGTTGGTGTATGCCGGATCCTAGGCGATGATGTAGAGCCCTGTTTGCATCCTTGTATAGTTTTTCATAGTGCCCAAATTCCTGCTCATATAAAGTGTCCGACCCTTGAAGTTTGTGGTCAATCTTCAAATGTAGAGATTCGATAGTATGCCAACGCGCCTGCACGTTGCGTATCTCGTGCTCTAGTTCCCATTTTTCGTGGATGTTATCTATGTTTAAATGGCTAATCAATCTCGTAAAGGCGCGGAAGTTGCTGCGTTGCTGTGCTAAATTATTAGCTGTCTCCTCTGATAGCGGAGCGCTGGAACCTGAATGAGCTGGTGGAACGGGGCTGGAAGCCTGCGAGCGAGTGACGTATTTTATGGGCGCTATTTTACTCGATCCTGGAGTCGATACGTCTTCCTCAGCTAGTGGGTGCGAAGCCACCTTAGACCGCACCTCCTCATAGTATTTTCTGGCTTGATCATACTGATTTCCAGCAAAATACCCAACGTCCTCATGCCTATACATGTCTAAAGCGGAATGATTACTATTGAATTCGGCCCAAAGTTTATCTAACTTTTCTAAGCGCTGTATTATGTAGTCGCGAGTCTTACGACTCGCCGAATCCTTAGAAAAGTTTCTATCGATTTGCCGGATACATTCGAGCACTTCTTGTTGGCGTTGGACAAGCTTATCCATTTTAAAAACGTTTGTTAAAGTTAATAAATGGGACGATCTTACTTGTTTTCGGCTGCAGCTATTGACGGTGTGCACTTACTGCTCTGCGCCCGACGATACCGCACCGCAACACACACAATAAAGTTAGTTAATGCGACCCGACGCGGATGCACTGTACGTTTTTTGCGACGATTCGCAAGGGAACTGCTGTGGTTCCCGGGATGATTTGCTGTGGGAACTGCTGTGGTTCCTGGGATGATTCGCTGTGGGAACTGCTGTGGTTCCTGGGATGATTCGCTGTGAGAACTGCTGTGGTTCCTGGGATGATTCGCTGTGGGAACTGCTGTGGTTCCTGGGATGATTCGCTGCGGGAACTGCTGTGGTTCCTGGGATGATTCGCTGTGGGAACTGCTGTGGTTCCTGGGATGATTCGCTGCGGGAACTGCTGTGGTTCCTAGGATGATTCGCTGTGGGAACTGCTGTGGTTCCTGGGATGATTCGCTGCGGGAACTGCTGTGGTTCCTGGGATGATTCGCTGTGGGAACTGCTGTGGTTCCTGGGATGATTCGCTGCGGGAACTGCTGTGGTTCCTAGGATGATTCGCTGTGGGAACTGCTGTGGTTCCCGGGTTTCGGCACCAAAAACTGTAGTGTATAACAGTTTAGCGTATACTCCCGAGTTTCGGGTACCAGAGACTGTAATGGAGAACAGTTCCGAAAAGTATACGTGCTTGTAATTGCTAATGCTATGCTGTAGAGTTAACAGCTTAAAGGTTAAGAGGGAGGCGAAATAACCAAACCCAATGAGTGCTGTAGTGCTACTGATTTATTTCCTATTAATATCGCTTAAATATAATTTACAAGAAAGCAGGAAAGTATGATGTTCAATAAGCTAACCTTGTAAATTTGCTTATAATATAAACATTGATGTGAGCACGACGCTGAACGTGAGAATTATGCTAGCTATGCTATAAAATAATATTATTATAAAAATATAGTAATTTTGTTCGGACGTTTGTCCGTACAAAATTATATGTAATAAAAAAATATGGTTTTGAACATTCCGCCCACCAAAGGACATATAGTCCTTTACAACGATAAATTGTCTATGTTAATCGTAATGACTCAAATAACAAAGTAGATTGAAAGTAAATACAAACATGCCTATATAACTATCTAACCGCCCACCATGCTAAAATAATTTTGAATACAATGCAACAAAGGAATAAGTAATTTAAACTTAAATAAACAAGGATTAATTACAAAAATCCAGTGAAGTTTTGGGTAGCAAACACAATTTGCTTAAGGGTCTTTTATATACACCAGTTTTGGTTTTTAAGGACACTACTCGAGTAAGGTTATCTTTTCCTGGATGCTTCTCAATTATTCTTCCAAGCCACCATTTTGCGGGGGGTATATGTTTATACTTAATCAGCACAACATCGTTCACTTCTGGTTCAGTGATTTTAGTAGTCCATTTGGTCCTTTGATTTAATGTAACCAAGTATTCATCTGACCATTTTCTCCAAAATGCAGCTAGTAAGCTTTGGCAATGCTTCCACCGCCTCGTGTCGGGTATGATGTCTTCAGGAGTCTCATCAGGTATTGTTAATAGGGGTTCTCCTATGAAGAAATGTCCCGGCGTTAAAGGTAGTGGATCATCGGGGTCATCACTCAGGTAAGATATTGGTCTTGAATTGAGACAGGTTTCGATTTGTGTGAGGATTGTTGACAACTCTTCAAAGGTAAGTATACGTTCTCCCATTATTCTTTTCAGGTGTTTCTTCGCAGATCGGACTCCAGCTTCCCACAACCCACCAAAGTTTGGACTTTGAGCAGGGATATAGTTCCAAGAAGTACCTTCATTTGCAAGTAAGTGTTTTATTTCATCTGGTAGTTGAGACATTGAACGGGTGAACATTTCTCGCAATTCTTTATCAGCACCAACAAAATTTGTAGCATTATCCGAATACAATGTCTGGCAATGACCTCTTCTGCTTACAAACCTTCGAAAAGCAGCTATGAATCCACTTGGAAGAAGATCGGAAACTGCTTCGAGATGTATGGCCTTGGATGAGAAGCAAATAAAGAGACATATGTAACCCTTATATGATTTAGCTCCGCGGCCAGGAGAGAATTTTATGTTTACGTAACCCGTGAAATCTACACCCGAAATCTTATGTTAAAATTAAAATTTTTCTATACTACTAAAAAGCAACAAATTACATGCACTTTTGCTATATATTTTTATCAGGCGCTATAATTTCTAAAGAACAAAAATCTTTTAAAAATTGTGTTTCATCTAAACACAATTTGTTATATCTAACCGAACTTTCTAAGACAGCTAAACTTATTTATGTAGCTTTATTATCTAGAACTAAAATAAACTTAATGTTTAAATTAAGATTTTTCTATACTACTAGAAATCCTCCGTGCTGTTGCTCTGGGCAACGCTGACGATGCCGGTTTAAGTCCTGCCCGAGTCGAAAATTTTTTCAATTTATTTTCGACTTTTAAATTATATCGTGCCTTCATGTGCAATAACATGTAAAAAATATTAATGTTTTCAGCCCGAGTTTGGGCTTAAACTGTTCGTCTTTAAGAGAGGAATATTTTTGCCCCTCTAGTTTCCCCCTCCCTCCACTTTTTCAATTTTTTTTTTTTTTTTTTATATTTTAGTAAATTATATGTACTTCTATAATAATTTCAGCCACAATAATTTAATTTCCCTATTGCTCAGGATACCCCCTTCCCCTCTAAAAATAACACATTTTTTCTGAGCGTCATTCGCCTCCCCACGAAAGTTCCCCCCCCCCCAACCCTCAAATATTTTTTTTTTTTTAATTTAAATTAAAGAATGGTTTTCGGCCACCGCACGCCCACTTAACGACAACTTCCACTAAACAATACACCTGACAATACACCCGATAGTGACGCAACGGATGAAAGACTTATAATGACAGGAAAACAGTGCACCACAGGGTTGGAACCACCCGTCGCCAGTTTCTTCTCATTAGGTTAGGTTAGTTAGGTTAGGTTAGGTTAGGTTAGGTTAGGTTAGGTTAGGTTAGGTTAGGTTAGGTTAGGTTAGGTTAGGTTAGGTTAGGTTAGGTTAGGTTAGGTTAGGTTAGGTTAGGTTAGGTTAGGTTAGGTTAGGTTAGGTTAGGTTAGGTTAGGTTAGGTTAGGTTAGGTTAGGTTAGGTTAGGTTAGGTTAGGTTAGGTTAGGTTAGGTTAGGTTAGGTTAGGTTAGGTTAGGTTAGGTTAGGTTAGGTTAGGTTAGGTTAGGTTAGGTTAGGTTAGGTTAGGTTAGGTTAGGTTAGGTTAGGTTAGGTTAGGTTAGGTTAGGTTAGGTTAGGTTAGGTTAGGTTAGGTTAGGTTAGGTTAGGTTAGGTTAGGTTAGGTTAGGTTAGGTTAGGTTAGGTTAGGTTAGGTTAGGTTAGGTTAGGTTAGGTTAGGTTAGGTTAGGTTAGGTTAGGTTAGGTTAGGTTAGGTTAGGTTAGGTTAGGTTAGGTTAGGTTAGGGTTAGGTTAGGTTAGGTTAGGTTAGGTTAGGTTAGGTTAGGTTAGGTTAGGTTAGGTTAGGTTAGGTTAGGTTAGGTTAGGTTAGGTTAGGTTAGGTTAGGTTAGGTTAGGTTAGGTTAGGTTAGGTTAGGTTAGGTTAGGTTAGGTTAGGTTAGGTTAGGTTAGGTTAGGTTAGGTTAGGTTAGGTTAGGTTAGGTTAGGTTAGGTTAGGTTAGGTTAGGTTAGGTTAGGTTAGGTTAGGTTAGGTTAGGTTAGGTTAGGTTAGGTTAGGTTAGGTTAGGTTAGGTTAGGTTAGGTTGGTTAGGTTAGGTTAGGTTAGGTTAGGTTAGGTTAGGTTAGGTTAGGTTAGGTTAGGTTAGGTTAGGTTAGGTTAGGTTAGGTTAGGTGAGGTTAGGTTAGGTTAGGTGAGGTTAGGTTAGGTTAGGTTAGGTTAGGTTAGGTTAGGTTAGGTTAGGTTAGGTTAGGTTAGGTTAGGTTAGGTTAGGTTAGGTTAGGTTAGGTTAGGTTAAGTTAGATTCAGGTTAGGTTAGGTTAGGTTAGGTTAAGTTAGGTTAGGTTAGGTTAGGATAGGTTAGGTTAGGTTAGGTTAGGTTAGGTTAGGTTAGGTTGGGTTAGGTTAGGTTAGGTTAGGTTAGGTTAGGTTAGGTGGGTTAGGTTAGGTTAGGTTGGGTTAGGTTGGGTTAGGTTAGGTTAGGTTAGGTTAGGTTG